TTTGGATTGGTTTCTTTTTGGATCCTTTAATTTGCATGAAGGTTTAAGGAGCTTGATTGGCCCATTACAGTTCTGTCCAGGATGGCTGGTTTCACCTGGGGAGTGCTGCACTTTACTTAGGTGTATTATGGTATGTAGAGTACTGTATTTCTAACAACTACCCCTTTAAACCCCTTTTATCATAACCAAGCTAACAGTACATGCTTAACAATTATAAACTATTTTACAACAGTTTCTAACCTATTTTTTACATTCATTTTAAGGCCAGTGCCTGACTGTTGCATGTGTTTTACTGGCCAGCACCTCTCTTTATTGCAGAAAATAGCTTCCTTGGATATCCGATGTAGAAAACAGATGAATGTGCATCCTTATTTTCCTCCCCTGGGAAGGTCAGAGTGTCTCTGAAGCAAATAACAAGCCTTGCCAGTGTATGGTCAGCAGATGGTTTGGACACTGTGGCTGCAGAGAAGAGTGAACTGCTGCCATTAATGACTGTCGGGGCTGTTCTTTCGCTTTACTTATTTCACCCTTTATTATGAGTACTGGTTAATGTTCTTTTCATCTCTTTTGTGTCTGTTCAGCAGGTGATGCCTCTCAAAGCAGGGACAAACTATATTAAAGGATAAAAATGGGAACAGTTTTTATTTGTGTTGCTGACACCTGTGTCTTACGATTTTTTAGTGTCTTTGCCACGCTACCCAACAGGTTGCAAGAAGACTTGTACTGACATGGGCAAAAGGGTTGCATCTGGTTAGAGATGAACTGTAGCAGTTCACAGGGTAAAATAGCCCTAATTCAGGATTTTGCTGTAATTATCCAACTTAAGCATCAAGATGAAGATTATGTTATGAATTGACAACTATCATAATGATTAACTTGTTTTAATTGACCCTGGAATCATTCTGGTTTTGTTTTTTTTTTTTTTTTTTTTTTTTTTTTTTTTTTTTTTTTTTTTTTTTTTTTTTTTTTTTTTTTTTTTTTTTTTTTTTTTTTTTTTTTTTTTTTTNTTTGTTTTGTTTTGTTTTGTTTTTTTTTTGGTAGGATGTTATTATATTTTTATCTCTCCAAATTAATAAACTTCTTTCTAAAAATCTCTATTTCTGTACTGCCCTCAGACATCACCAGTAAATTGTCCCTCACATTGAGGAGGTTCATGCAGGAAGGATAACTTACTGGTCTAAGGAAATGGACGACAGAGTGCTATGGGGATTGGCAGAAAATGTGCCTAGCATGATGCAAACCACTGCATGAACAGTGGCTGTGCACCTTGTGGAGGCAAAAATGTTGAACTTCTCTTTGCTACCTTAGCCTACCTTTAGATATAGCATAAGGTCTGCCTGTGTGTGTTGCAGGTTTGTGTCACAATCATTATCACCAAGCTGACCTTGTGTCATAGGAGATGACATTTAGCCTAATTTTTTGTCAGACTCTAGAGTGACCAGGTTCAATTTTAGAGCAGAAGTGGGTAAATGTGCTGCTCAGACTTATGACTGGCATATATTGAAGAGCAGTCTGATTTCCTCTTATCGTACACTGAACCATTTCTCAGTAGCTGGCAAAGGCCAGTGTGGAGGTTGGATTTGCTGAGATGGGCAATTTTTGCTTTTGAGAGAACAGAGAGAGACGCTCTGTTAGCTACGGGAAGCCAATAGCTCTTCACAAAAGACCCTTGATGTTCTGGACTGAACTGTAGTTGGTGCTTTTCAGCTTTTAAGAGAAGTCTTAATTATCATATGGGACCAGAATATGTTTAGGAAAAAAATGAAGATTATTTTTCCCCAGCTTTTGTCTCTTTGCTGAAGATACCAGTAGATAAGAGCAACAACCCCAGTTTTTCAGGGAGTGTTTCCAAGAGTAGAGTAAAAGAAGATAGATATGATAATCATATTTAGTGTTTGGTGATGTTATGTCTCTCACATACTGTGATTTCTCCTCTAATACAGTACATTTTATGGCACCACCTGTTAAAAAAGGTTTAGTGCATGTCAAAGCCAGCAAAATTTCAGTCTCAGCACTATAGTGAAGCAACAACACTGAACTTCATGCCCAAAATTAGACATGCTTGAAAAAACCTGCCCTGTAGAGTGCCTTCATGTCGTGACTCTCAGTACAGAGCCATAGAATCATAGACTCATTAAGGCTGGAAATTACTTCCAAATTCATTAAGTCCAGCCTTCAACCAAACACTGCCATGCCAACTAAACCATGGCACTGAGTACCACATCCAGAGGTTTCCTGAGCACTTCAATTTTCAGAATTTGTAGCTTTAAGTACCCAGACAGGGGTCACCCAGAACCTTGGTGTTATTAGCACCATGCTCTAACCACCTCAGGTAATCACATGCATTGAGTACTTGGAAAAATACTATCTTCATTTAATGAAGCACAAATAATTTTTTTTTAGCTTAAGTTAATTCTATTAACTGGTTTGAAGTGACTTATGTTATAATGATAGGAACATGAGTACATACATAAAAATATCTCCTGGATGTTAGCATATAGCAAGGAATGTTTTGTAGTGATAAGAACTGGTCCTTGAGACTGATATTATAGTTGTGTTTCTGTCTCCACCAGAATTACCATGAACTCAGATTGTTGAGTTGAATTGATTTGACTAAATAGAGTAGAATTCGTGTATCTCAAATGTATTTTTCCCAGACAAGAATTTAGAGCTGTTTTTCTTATATTTTTCTTTTCTAGATCTGTATGCATAATTTTTTCCCATGGATTTATTACTGAATAAATTAATTTGGAGGTACTGTCATGGGACATTTATTTGATTCTCATTTGGAAGATCAAAACACACTTTTGAGCCATAGACTGGATTCTTAGTATGAAAAAATGTTCCTCCTGGTTGAAAAGACATGGTTTTGCAAACTAATGGAGCCTGAGATTCTATTTCTGGTACATATTAACTACATTTTCTGAGAACAAACCAATTTGTATAATTACTCCAAATTCCTGCCACTGCCAGGAGTCTGTACAACTCCCTACTGATAGTCTTTTCAGTATTATTTCCATACCCATGCACTTATTCCAGTTATATCTTTAACAGGAATACTACTTCAAGAATTTTCTTTAGAGACTATTTTATTGCTCATAAAGCTTTAGACCATCCATATAGTTTGATTGATAGCTTTGTTATTTGCTACTGGGACCTGAAAGCCTTAAGCAGTTCCATGATCTTGTAGTGGAGGACACCCTACCGACTGAAAGAAAGAAAAACTCAAGTCAAGAGAGCTTAAAGTAGCAAAATATAGGAAGTAAATAGGTGTAGAAAAGGAGGATAAAATGAAGAAAATGAGCCAAGGTTTCAGGAAAAACAAAGAAGGATATAGTCTCTCTGAAATAAAATTAACTTAGGATATTGGTGACTAAAATGTATGTGAGTGCGAAGCAGAAATTAAAACTCTGTTTCACTGATACTTGATCTGTGTCCCAAGTTCTTGATAGTCATGAGGAAAGCTGACCCAGGGGCGATGGGTCATACACCTGCTGTCAGACACTCCTTGGTGCAGCCTGGGATGAGTCAGCCTCAGTTTACCAACATGAGACAAGGAGTCAAACAGTACCTGTGTGGCACCAGTGTCCCTTCAGACATCTGAGCAGAGGTGCCCCTGCTGGGCAGCATGGTGGTTGCTCTGCAGGTCAGTGTGTGAAGGATTTCTTTTGGCCAGGAAATCAAGGCTGTTTCCCTGTGAGCAGCTGTGCCCTGACAAACAGGCTCCTGTACTCTCTTAAGGAGTGCACCTCAAACCAGAGGCACCCATACATTGTACCTGCTTTCAACAATAGTTTCCACAACTTGTAGAAAACAGAACAGGGTTTCCTGATCATAACACAAAACTGCCAACATAGCCTACGTATTTTCTTAACTGTAGCCTGATCTTGATTAATTATTTTTCATATTTGAAAAATAAAATCCAAAAGCATTTAATGTCAGATGTCTAAAATGACTGTGCTATGCATCATGCAAGTGACTGCTGGCTTCTGAAAAAACTGTAATTACAATTTATTGTAATGCCTTTCCCTCCCTCTGGTAAATGGACATAAATATTCACAGGGCTGGGTACATTAGTGTAGGTAGATTATTCATTCATTTGCTGAAAGAAGTATTTGCAAATAAATGCTATGAAAAAAGAAAAGCACTGAAATCTCCTTCATAGTCCTTTAACCAGTTAGTGCATTACAGCATAGCTGAATTTGGTGAGACACTTACAGGTAAGTTATTATAAAGAGTAGGTGTCAGTGAGAATTTAAGGGATGTTTGAATTGTTTTTCTAATTTTGCATACAAATATTGATATTGTGCAATACTGAATAAATTTATTGCATGTGCAGTAGGGCTTACAGCCCTATCAGTGAAACCAGGGGGGATTTTTTTGAGTAGAGTCAGCTGGATATTATTTGAAGGATTTACGTTTTATTTGTAGAAGAGAAGAGGCAAATATTCATTTTCACTGTATTCCTCTACTGCTTAGTTATTTTTAGAGTTTCCTTTAGCTTTGGAGTACTAGGGACTATTCTGCTTTGGCCTTTTTTATTTTTCAATCAAGCACTGCTATTATTTTGTTAGCATACCTTTCTCCTTAGAAGAAGGAAATTGCCTTACCCTCAGAGCAGAGTTCATCCTGTCTGATGCAGTCATGTGCAGAGCAGATGCTGAGTCTAAACCCCCTACTTCCAACTCTTTTTTAGTCAATGAAGAAAGATGAGCACTTCTGGAGTAATTTGTCTCTGAAATCCATCTCAGGATGTCAGGGATTTCACACTGAAATTGTGAAATATACCATTTGGTGTACAGTGTCAAGATGATGGTGTTTATCTGAGTATCAACCCAAGGCTCAGAGAAGATGGGATGAACACCCCTATGAGTGATAGTCAATCCTTGGTGCCATGTCAATGGCTTGGCAAAATGTTTATGAAAAAGCAGTCTTTGACAGGATGAAGTGTGATACTGTGGAATGTCCCATGGATTTACAATCTCAATTTCCAATTTCAGGGAGGAGAACATTGCTATTATCAGGGAAAAATTCGAGGAAATTCTGTATCATTTGTTGCCTTGTCAACATGCCATGGATTACAGTAAGTCTGCTGTTTTGTTTTTAATGACTTTTGTTTATCACTCTTTTAAGCAAAATCAAGTTGTTTATAGTAAAATAATACATGTATATAGTAAAATAAGTGCTATTTATTTTCCTACCAATTTGTCACCAATATTAAGTAATCAAAAATCTTCAAAATTTCCCTTTTTTTTCTAAGCTGAGGACTAATGGCAGTAACTAGGTATTGTGTTAAGATAATTTATTATAGAGATAGCAGAGTAGAAGTAGCTGAAAACATCCTATTCTAGAAGAATAAAAACAATGCCAATGAATTATTTGGAAATTGTGTTCTTTTCTTGTTGCTATAATGATGTATACTTTATTTTTTTTCTAGTCTCTTTACAAAGAAAATGTCAGTTTAGAATTTACCTTGCATTATCCATTTTTGTTAAAAGAATTTCTGGCCTTAAGCTGTGTGTATGCAGTAATACCCTTCATATAGTAAAATCTTGAAAAATCTAGAAGAAAAAGTATAAGAGGGTGAAATAATTTCTATTTGAAGTGCATAATTTTACTTATAATTAAAGCCTCTGTCAAGTGAAGGTTACATGAAGTTGTGTATGGATTGTACAGCTTTTGGACCTATCTACTTTTGGCACTATTGAATGATGCTAGACAGGTTTTCAGGTCAACCAAGTGCTGTCACATCTGGGAATTACAGGATCTCAGCACTACTAATGCTGACATCAGCTTGAAAAGTCATGGCACCAAGTGAGCCCGTGTGGAGGTCACGTGAGCTTTACTTTTTGCTGTGGAAGCAGGGTTTAGCTGATGGAAATCTTCAGCCTATAGTCTATCTGCAATTATTCTGTAGTTCTGTCGTAGAAGTACTTTTATTTGAGTCATATAAGTACTTTTATTTGAATAGTGCCTTTCTTTTATAGTTGTGTATTCTTTGGTATGAAGGGGAGAATGCATGCAGAAGACTTGTCATCCTTGCACTTGTCTAATTTACAGATGTGCAGCTCAAGAAACTTGAGCCCAGATTGAAGCATGGACAGTGAGCCTAAAAATAGTAGCTTCCTAATGCATCCTGAGCCACTGCATGGCTCCATTAGCAGTGATCCATTAAGTCTTGGCCCCTGCTAACTCCTAGGAGAAAAAGCAGGGACAAAGGAGAGCCTGCATATGTCTTTCCCTGCTCTCTTCCTGTGAGTTTATGCTTAAAACTGACTGTTCTGGAGCTCTGTATTCTTCAATGGCCTGATATCCAAATTGGTCACTTCTACACTTACATGATAGATGATGCATTTTTTTCATTGTATAGTTCAGCTCACTCTTGAGAAGTATCTCCCTGTCTCCTCTCTCCATCCCTCCCTTCATTTTTTCCTCTGATATAATAAAGTTTCAGCTGAGTTCTTTGACACAAGCTTACTCTAATCAGGCTGGTATTTCAAACATCCAATATGAGAAAGTAATGTTTCCTGAGCTGTATTAAACTCACATTTTCTGACACTGCACTTCCATCATTGCAACTAGCTCCTATACAGCTGATTTTAAATTATAAGTAATTACGCACACTGGCAATCAGAGCTCCTTAGCTAAAACCACATTTTGGAGTATCTTGCTGGAATAAGGGTAGCTGAGCAGAGTTGTCTTCTGTCTGCGGGGCAGGAGCTTTGCTTTAATGAATTTTAGGAAGTACAACAAATGCCTTTAAGATAATAACAAGGTTTATATTTCTAAAGGTCATGCTAATCTCCTCTTTTGCATATTAGTACCACTAGATCTCAGACAGTAACAGCGGACTTATTCATGCATGTGAAAAAATATTGAGGATTTTTAATCATAAGTTACGAGTTCTTATTTTAGTAATGTCTGCGTCCTTCCTTTTATTAGTTAAATCAATCACATCTGGCTGACAGAATATCTGAAATTACGGATGTCTTCTTCATGACTTGGCTAATGACAAATACATCTCTGCAAACTTGACTTCGAGCAAGCCATTTGGCCTGTATTTTTGTTTCGTTTGTTCTCGGTGGGCTGTGCAGTAAGCAGGCTCCCTGCGAGCCGGCCCGAGAAGCGCTCTGCGCAGGGGCCGGCGGCGCTGCGCTGGGAGCGAGCTGCGCCCGCAGCCCGGCTCGCAGCGGGCACGGCCGGGTCCTGCTGCCGGCTGGCGGCCAGCGCAAACACTGCCTCGCTGCTGTGGGTTCCACGGTACCGACGTGATTGTCCCAAGAACGCACACCATCCAAATGCAGGCTCTTGGAATGTTTCGCTTTCTGTTTAACACACCCGTGAGCGTGTGGTTTATTCCGAGCGCGCTAGGTCTGTGGTAGCTGGTGGGAAAAGAGCCATGAATGCCTTGAGTGTGAAAGCCAGGTCTGGAGGTCAGCTGTGACTTATTCTGTCACTGCTGAGTGACTTGATGAGAGGTCAGTGCTGCTGGGAGCGGCAGTCTCATGAGAAGCTCTTTGCTGGCAGCACTTCAACTTGCAGACCCTGCTTAACTAAAGCTGCAATTAGAGAGAAGGAAGATTTGACTGATAAAGATCTACGGGATCTTCCCCAATCTCATCTTATTTCCAAGCAAAGAAGCTTTAGCAGATGCTAGAATATTTTGCTCAAACTATATAGGCAGTATTTATTTCTAAAGAATAGGCACATGTAATTTGAAAGGTGAAGCGGCTTTACATTGTAGTTATGCTCATACTTGATATATGTTATACAGTCAGTAACCCAGGTTACTTCTGTGAAAGTCAATATTGCTGATAAAAAATGCTGCATAAGAAAAAAGAAAAGGATCTGTTTTTTTGCTTGTAATTCCCATTTGTTTTGGGTGTTTTAACCGTAAGGTAAGTAAATAAATAATCTTGCTTTCATACTGTTGTTGTTATGTGCTGTGTGCCAAATTTGAATTTGCAGCTCATATTTAGACCAAGCTTAAACACCTTAGTAGTGGCCCTTTGAAAAAGACGTGCTGATACAGCCTAATCCCAGCCATGTGTGAATGCCACTGCAGTAAAGGCAAAATTACTTAAAAATATTCTGGTTTGGTTGGAGATCAGAATGTGTTGATATAAGAAATAACATTTGTTTTTCTGCTCTTACAGATATATAATAGTTGTATCAACACTTTCTTTAAATGAAATGCTAAGGAAAGAGTTAATAAAAGACCCATCAAAACCTAAGGATAATTCAATTCAATTCAATACAATTTTTATTTGGGGAAAGCTATGCACATGTTACAAATATGTGTTCCTAAAGAGAGGTCCCTTATTTATCTGTTGCAGGTAGTATCTCCTGCATGGGAGTGGGGGCTTTGGACTGGATTTTCAGTTGGTTAAATTAGTTTAAATTTGTGTTTATATGTGTTGTAGAGGTTTGTGGAAGAAAGAAGTCTGCTTCACCACAGAAGAAAATCTTTCTGAAGTAAAGAAACAAAAAGACTGATCCCAAATTGCATTCAGTTCCTGAAACCATTTTAAACTCTTCCTTTCTCAAATATTTAAATTTTTAAAATATATTAACTTTAAGTTACTTCTATGTTGCACTAGTGTTTGTTTATTAAATCTGTATTTACATTTCCTGCTCTTGACAGTGGGATGTTCTATGATGGAAATCATACTTACCTTATTGAACCAGATGAAAACTACACGTCAGATGTAAGTAGAACTTAAGTAGTCCTTCTGTGTTTTTTGAATACAGTCACCCGTGGGTGCAGGGTAGGCATAAGGCTGTGGGACCAAAGGGTCACCCTCTCATTCCCAAATCATTTACCTTGAATGTGAGACTCCATCTGCACAGGCAAAAGCAGACCTGCAAAGATTAGACAGTGAGTGTCTATACGTGTGCAGTCTGTAGCTCTTGGCTGTAGAGCACTGCAGCACTAGAGGAGGGTTCCTTGGAGCCTGTGAGAGCCCAGTCCCCTTCCCTGGCACCTCCTGCTCTGGGTTTATTGCATCCCTCTCCTCCTGGTTCCTCCTTGACTCCAGTTCAGCAGCTCCTGGGACTTTCACTGACTCTCCCTGAGCAGCTCTGGGAGCCTAATTTAGGCCTAGCTCTGTGTGCTCAGCCGCTGTGTTTGAGGTACCCAGATATAAAAGGTGGTTAAATGTGGCATTGGCCATCACATTGCAGTTGGGAGAAGGAGAATGTAGAGTAATAGTGCCTTGCAACATGTTCTCTGCGGTATGTGTTAGGTAAAAACTGGAACTGTCTGTTTAATGCTCATGAGATAGATTAATTTTTCCTGATGTAATATTGGCAATTATTTACTATTTCAGGATGACTTCCATTTCCACTCTGTTTACAAATCCAAGTTGTTTGAATTTCCTTCAGTCGACCTGCCATCTGGTATGATTTTTTAGTATTCATGACTTGATGTTTTAGTCTAAGGCCAAATTTGTTGATTGTATTTGATAGATCATCTTCTGAGAGTATATTGTTTTGTTATAGTTTCTTTTACCCAAATAAATAAAAAATCACTGAAAAAAACCCATTTTGAAAAAGTAAAAGCACAGGAAAATAATCTGAAATTATGAAAAAACCTGAATCCAATTAATGAAACCTTTTCTAGACCATCATGGTGTGATCTGTGTTTCTCTTAACAGGTCATATAGTCTGTGGGCTGGATTATGTGCTGGTAGTTGTAGAGAGGAAAGAACTGAAGTAGCCTAGAGGTGATGAAAATAAACACCATGTTGATGGTGGTTGAAAGCTCTTCATGGGTTTTTCTTGTTTTGAGATACAAGGAGAGTACCATGGAGTGGGCATGAGTCTGGGAGACAAGAAGCTGCCCAATGTAGTTTCTGTTCAGTGACTGATCTCCAGTCTCATCAGCATCTTTCACAGTACTGGCTATGATGAGGGCTGTGCATTTCAGTGCAGATGAATTTGGAGGCAGAAGTGGTTTCAAGTGCTTGTAGTGATGAATGCCCATATTGTATGTGGAGGGAGAAAAGTTTGTTTTAAAAAAATGGGTTTTCATCTGAGAGGTTGGCTTGTTAATTGAAGCTGAAATTGCAGCAGTTGTGACATATCCCCATTCTGTCAAGGATTTGCCAATTTTACAGTTGTGTTTTCCTGCCCTACAATGCATATCCTAAATAAATGTAACTATCATTTGTAGACACTGACATTTTTGTAGAAACCACCTCCAGTCTGATTTCTTCAGGAGAATTACAGATGTCTGGTTATCTTGTTGCAAACTATTTGTCCTGTGGTAACATTTGGATCTGAGATCTTACGGTGCTGAGTACTGCACACAGATGGGTCCATCCCTGGAGCACAGTTTGTGCAGGTTTGCCAGTTGTTAAGCAAAGTAGAATCATTCAGGGAACTAATGAGAAAAGAACAAGAAAAAAAAAAAAAAAAAAAAAAAAAAANAAAAAAAAAAAAAAAAAAAAAAAAAAAAAAAAAAAAAAAAAAAAAAAAAAAAAAAAAAAAAAAAAAAAAAAAGGAAATTGCTACTTGGTTTGCTTTATTTCAGTCCTGAAGAAGGAATCTGTCTGAATCCAAACAAAAACAGTGTCCCAGCTTGGTGCCTCCTGTCCTGGCAAGGTAGAGGCAATGTTGGGATGGAGGAACATGAGCACAAAAGGCTCATGACTTTTGTGCAAGGCATCGACTTCTGTGTCAGTGAACTTCCTGTGCCTTACACACGTGCCATGCTTAATACCTGTGCTTGCAGAGATGATAGTGGAATGAGAGCAATTGATTGAACATAATAATAAATATTATATAAATAATTTATCATTTATCACCTTTTCTTGAGGACATATAACTCAAAAGATTGGAAATACTGCAACCAATGCTGAGTTTAAAATAAATCTTCTATCTCAGGTTGTTAAGCTAAGACACTGCCAGTGTTGGTACTTACTATCTATAAACTGTTTTATAAGATTTCTTAATAGTGAATTTTATGTTTTCAACATAACAAAATTATGAAATAAAATAGTTTTCTGCTTTTAAAATTATGAGAAGAGATTAATTGCAAGTAAATGCCCCAGTTTCACCTCCACCAAAGCGTCTTGATTTTCAAAAAACTGTCGAACTAGGGTTTCATGGCCTTGTTTTGTTTATTTGTTTTCCCTCAAAAATCCAGTCATGCTTGTACAGTTTTGATTTTACTACAGATAACAAATAAATAGTTGCTGGCTTTGCTATAAAAATATGACATAATGGGACAGGTTGCCATCTAGATTTAATTAGAATCGCAGGATGGTAGAAAAGGTTAAAAAGGAAATTCAGTTGCAGAGTGCTAGTCTTCTCAGTTATGCAAGTATTTGTAATGTAGATGAGAGGTACAAGGTGTTAATCTTCCATAACTTTATGTTTAGGATCCGATGTATAGAGAAATAGACTCAATTCACAGTCTACTCTCCGACATGCCCATACTTATTTTTGTAAAATTGTTTCTAAAGTTATTTCTGATGTTTGTAGTGAAAATTACAGTACAGATATAATATTAGCCTCATTAGAACATCCACCATTTTTCTTTGTCTGTGATTATTCAATTTATCTCTCTGTAAGTCATCCTCCATGCATAGTCACAGCTCCAGTGAAGGATGAGAGCTCCACCAGTATCTCTACTTCTTCCCTGCCAGTCTGGAGAGGTCAGACTGCTCTCTTGACTTTTTTTTCTTTAATTAACATTTGCAATTAATTACTGATAGTATTGTTGTGATTGATTTTTTGGAAGTACTACAACAAAATTACTATTAGCAATAGCAAGCACTGTGCTGGCATATATCATCATAGCTACTCTCATAATTTATCAATTTGACTGGCCTAACTAGATTTTGCACAAAGCCAAGATTTTTCTCTTATCTTTAGAAGAGTGTGTGTGTGTAAGGTAAGATTTCCACTCAGCCTTTTCACTGCTTTAGGAATGAACTGGATAATCACCAGCTTCAATACTGGTGTTAGAAAGGGAAAAAATTCAAGTGGTAGAGATTACTCAGTATCAGTGATAGAAAAAGCACACACTATTCTATCACGGTTAAATAGCAATATACTTTATACATTCTTTTGCTCCCTGTGTATTAAAAAAACCCACAAGCTGCTGCAGAAAAGAATTTATTGTACTGTACTTTGCAATAGTCTGAGGAATAATGAGGATTTTAAATAAGGAAGCTTGGACAGATGACTTGGCACACTTAGAGCATTTGACTTTGTATTTACTAGACTGTGTTTTTTCTCACACTCTCTGTTGAGATCTACAATGCCCTGGCATGGTTTTAGATAACAATATGTTATCAAAGGTGCTGTTTTTCAAATAATACATAACAGATGTCCTTTTATTTTGGGTTCACATGAAAAATATGTAGATACAACACTTAGGAACGTGATTTAGTGGGACTTGGCAGTATTAGATTTACAGTTGGACTTGATTTTAACAATCTTTTCCAACCAAGATGATTCTATGATTTTGTGAATTTTCATTACATTTTTTTGAGGTAATATATTCCCATCAAAATATCTGCTAGGCTCTCTCAACTATAAACATGCCCTGTGATTTTGCTGGTCATGTTCTTTTGCCTGAGGGTCCTTGGCTGGAAATGCAACCTGTGTGCATTTATCCATCTTGTGAGTTATAAGGCAGTGTTAATGTGTGTTAATGTGTTAATGGTAATGGCTGCGTCATTTTCCTTAGAGATTACTGACTTCTGATTGTGAGTAAAATAATCACATGTGCTGGTAAAATTGTCTGAGACCCTATATACATACTATAAATTATTATTTTATTAATTGAAAAGTGTTGTTTTTACCAGTTTCATTAAGCATGTTATAAATAAAAAATGCTAGGTTGAGATCCAGTTGTGTGTCTAAACTAATTGTGTCTAAACTAATTAACATACATAAAGCATAACCAAAAACATTGTAAAAAGGTTTTCAAGACTTAGTTTCTCATCATTGTTAAACCTCAAGAGTCTGCAAGTCTTTAAGCAATAAATGAGAAGCTTGGGTGTAATTTAATTTATCCTTGGTCTTTTTTCTCATGGAAGTCCTCAAGTGAATTGGTGTAACCATGAAAACATTTTAAAGCAGAGAACCCGTAATTGTCCAGGTTGCTCCATGAAAAGATATCTGCAAACCTCACATACCAAAATGACAGTATAGTCCCTAATTTTGGTTTGTTTTATTAGTAATTTGCCACTCCTGGTTAAGATTATCACTTAGGCCTGGCAATGTCTTGTCAGATGGGCAACTCAGCTTTGTGTTTTAAGATTTTGCTGATATGGCAGCCCTAATTCCTATCAAATTCCTATCAACATGGTTTTTAGTCCTATTTTTGAACCTTATGCAGAAACTGTACAATTAAGTACGGCAGGAAGTGAAGCTGTGATAAGCTTGCCTGTCTCACCAATAAGACTGAACTGGTCAGGAATTTGTAAAACAAGCAGAAGTTGTGTACAAAGATATGTGAACTGGAAGTCCCTTAATTTACACAGCTCCATCAATCCTGTAGCACTATAGGGGCATCGTATAAGACTGTAGAACTATATACTTCTCTGCATGACTGGTAAAATCACTGGTACACTGAATGAAGTTTTCAGTTCCTTGAAACTGAAAGGATGTCCAAAGCTGCAGAAAGCACAAAAGAGGGAAAGCAGTGAAAGGAGAAAGACATTATTACAAACTCAGAAACTTGAAATGTTTATTTGCATGAATCAAAAAGATCTTCTCAGGGTTATGTGAATAGCAAACACATTTATACAAGATAACAAAAGAGCTTTATTTTGTATAGGGAAAAGAGAGGCAGGGACTATGAATCTAAAATTAAAGATGGAAAATTACTTCTTGGACATTTGAAAGGGCCAGAGCAAGTGTTATCTTCTGCTTAGTTTATGATGTGTCCTTTTCCATGAGGGGCAAGTAATAGATTTGGTGAAAAGGATTTGGCAAAAGAATAGACTACTTGATGCTTATGATTAGAGATTTAAGAAGTTAAAGACACAGAGGGATTAGCAGGGAGGAATATTGTGTTGGCAAGTGAACATTGCCAAAATCTTGTAAGGTTTCTCCCAGCTCTGACATATTTTTCTTTGGGGATATAATCGTCTTAAAGCATTAATTCTGCCTTCCATGCTCTTCTTATTAATTTTGGTAGCTATTGCAAGAGCTCTGTGAATGTCTGCTGAATTCCCGAAAATGTGATTCACTTCATGGAAGCACTATGCTAATAATATTTCATGCCCAGTATTGGTGAAGTTTTGGCATAGAACATCTGCTGTGCTTTCTGAAGCGTGACACCCACAGATCATCTGTTTCAACAGACCCAGATTATCACTAGTAGAGTTTTTAATAAGAGCCCTGTTACTGGGAAGCATCTGTAGTCTTGCCTGCCTTCTATCTGGAAACTTGAAAAAATGAGTTGTTGCTGCATCTGAAGTGCTGAAGAGTGCCATACTACTGTCATGTTGCATCAGGGTCACTAATTGCTGGGCTATATTTTTGTAAGCGTTCCATGCATTTGTCTGTGTTTTCCACTTAGAGTTCTGGCAGATGAATACTACATCACAGAATTTTGTTGTAAGGCCAAGACACAAAAGAAGGAAAAGGCAGGTATGTGCCAATATGCTTGTTTATAAGGAACACACTGTCAAGTTTGTTTCATGTCTGCTGAGTTAATTTGTCCAGATGGAGTCCTGCTGCTCCTGCTGGTTTGGCATGAGGTCTCTATATCAATACAGCTAATACAAAAAAAGGTATCTAATGTGAGCTGAACGTTGATGGGTTCTCTTGGACATTACCTACCTGAAGAATTAGAACATTTTTAAATACTGTTACATGGCAAATGAAAAAGTAGATAAAATAATCTTGCTAATTTTGAGTATAGTTTTATCAGAAACTCCCATAATTAAACCTATATATTTTTTATGTTGTAATAGTGACAAGTAGTTACTTTACCTCACTTTATTTTGTTTCAAAATAAATATTCGAAACAGAGATTTCATTTTCTGTTTATTAAAATGGGGAAGCCACTAAGTGCATATGTTTGTTACCAGTTACACTCTCTCTGTATTGTTAGACTTTAAGAGTTATATTCTCTCCATAGGTTCGTCAGATTCCACGTAAAGTTGAAGAGGAAACAAAATACATTGAGTTGATGATTGTAAATGATCATCTAATGGTAAGACTGACACATTTCAACATCTTACAATTAGCATCAAATTGTCTTAATTTATCCAGACAGCATAACAATAAAGAACAGTATAAAGCATATATAAGGAATAAATTCAGTATGTCCTTAATAGAAGAGATTATGGTCTCATTGATGAAGTTGGTTTTGCATTTTGGCAAGTTAATTTCACTAAGAATGTAACTAGGCCTGAGGATCAGAAAGAAGGGTCAGAAAGTAATTAATGTCAGTGTAACTTAAGCTGATGATTTCCTTTCTGGCTTTCCTGAGCATTTCTGTTAGTTACAGGCATTCAGCAATCCATAGTGCAGTTATTTAAATTGTGCAGCAGCTGTTGAAAATGGGGAGATTAACAGTGATGAGATTTTTTTGATATATCCCAATCAATGTAGTAAAAAATTATTTTGTTAATATTTTATACTTTCTCTGGGAGAATACAGTAGAGTTTTTAACATAGTGGAAAGACACATAATAACAGTGTATTGAAGAAAAACCAGATGCATTCAACTCATTCAAGTGGGAAAAAGCACAGATTTATGTCAGTGAGGATGATTTATGAATCATCTAATGAAGGAAATATCAAAGGAAATGGCAAATTCTTCATTACTTGCAGTTTTCAAAGGTAGCTTCAAACACAAACAATGGATTTCCTCTTGAAGTAACTGGATAAAGCTCAGCCTGGTGGTGCCCATCCCACTAGTGACATTAGATGTTTTTATGATCCCTTATGGCTTTAAAATCAAAATATTTCTATAAATCTTGTCTACTTCTTCTGTAATGTGCAGCAATTCTCTCATGCAATACCTGAACTGGCAAAAATAGACATGAGAGTGTACAAGTGTACAAAAAGTGTGCCGCTGTCCTTAGAACAGTGTATTTCTCCACCAGCTCAGTTTGGTGAACACAGGAATAAATTCTTGGATTAAAATTAATAATATTGGATGAAAATTCCTTAAATCAGTGTAACTGTGTTTAATCATAAAGACCTGAAGCCACAGCATTTCTCTTGGGATCCTCTTATCTGTTCAGGCTGATTTTCTTCAAGGACAATGTTTCCTAATTTTGTCTAATCACAGCTAGTGCAAGAGTCAGTCCAGTTAGGAGTTTATTCTCTGAGTGCCAGTGATCAAAGAAGCTAAATAATTTCCTCCTGTGAGAAGGATTTGCTGTGGGCTTAACTTCCTTGTTTTTGGTGGTTTTTCCCCCATTCCTGCTTGAAAGGGTGCCTGTCCTATGCCCTAGTTGTGGGAAACTTCTGGCCCACTAAAAGATCCTAACTTCCAGAAAATATGGACAATTTTCATTCTAAAATCAAGCATCATGGGGCACAAGATGGCAAAACATTTCTGAAAATCTTGTACACTTTGTCTTAAATTGTTCTGAGATACATGTGGCTTTCATGCCCATGGATGCTCATTCATAATTGTTTTTCTTTCTGCAAATAGGAGTACATGGACTGCTGTTTCTAGTGCCATTTTTATAACACTGCATTTCAAATTTCAGTAAAGGTGCCATTGGAGTCTGATTACGGAAGTGGTTTGAACCAGTTACTATGGCTTTATAGTGTGTACAACTATACAAGAATAAAACCAGAAAACAGCTTAAGAGAGAAAATTAGGAAAAATAAGGGAATCTGATAGATTAAAACATGGATGCAGGCACTTCTGGTATAACACATCTTAAGGACTCTCAGCTATGGAAATTTTTGTTGCTAATTTCTTCATTGGCTTTTGTGATTAATTTTAAAATTGCCAACAATAATGATAATGAAGAGACTAGCAGAATGTTTCTGTTCTTATGTAATTTTCCAGTAAAGAGTCTAGGCTACTTTCTAAAGAGGAATTCATACATCCTCACAACAGCTGTTGTAAAGTAGATCAGTAATGTTCATTTCTGACCAGTTTTCTACTATTGGTTATTAGCATTACACTCAGCACAAGAGACAAAACCTTGTGCAGGGGCTTTATTGTTGATATAATTGCTTTTTACTTCATGGTGTTTTGGAAATGGATGTTGTTTTTCTGAAATCTGTACCTGTCAGTGGTCTGTGCTTGTTTCACAGTGTAAAAAGCACCGCTTGTCAGTCGGCCATACCAACAGCTATGCCAAATCTGTTGTGAACATGGCTGATTTGGTAAGTATCACTCAACTATATGTCCTTTTACTATTTGTCCTCCTGGTGTTAGATGCAGGAGTTGTCAGTTCATAGTGTAACAATAGTAATATATGTGAAGATTACAAATTTTCATCTAGAACCGCAATCAATCACCTATAGAGCCTTTGTCTAACATAAAGCATCAGAGGGGTTTTATTTTGTGGCTTTAAACATTTAAGTATCCTGCTGGATTGAGTCTGAGTTTTAAAGAGCACCTTTGATAGGACAATTTCTAGCGCAGGATCCCTGTTTTGACAACTTTAAACCCAAAAGACAACCTGAAATTCTAATGCATTACAATTTCTCCAGAAAAAGTGCACTTGAATAAAGGAGTTAGAATACAGGGACATACAGGTGAACTATGTGGATTATATTTATAGGCTAAATCGGATGAGCTGCTGGCTCTTGCATCTCACCGCAGCAAAATATTAGAAAAAGAAAAGTATTACTGGAAGAAGAAAATGCTTGAAAGTATTTGGTGTGGAGTGTTAACACAACATTGAAATTATGTCCCCTTTTTTGTGATTCAGCCAGCATGAGTTGAAATACTCCTGTAGACATATACAACAATGAAAAATTATGGCTTTATAGATCATTATTCCATGTAAGGGGACCCTTGTGTGTCATTGGGTGAGGTGGCTGTTATAAAAGACTCATTAAATTCAAATCTTTGATCTATTTGGAATGAAGCAATTTTTCAAAAATCACATTTTTCTTCTATGTACCTCTGCCTGTGTAGGCTGAGAGAAGACTAAGATAAATGATTGAGGAATTAAGCCTAAAAGTTTGGTTTAACCTGGTTTTCATGTTTGTTGGTTTTAAGGGAAATAAAATCACCTGCAAGAATGAAAAGTGTGCTAGAATGTGTGAAATATTTAGTTATATAAAAATGCAAACTATTAAAAAAAGGGGTAAACCTCTCTTTGTTCTATTTGACATATTTGTTCATTCTGTTAATGTACTAGATATATAAAGAACAACTTAACACGAGGATAGTATTGGTTGCCATGGAAACCTGGGCTACTGATAACAAGTTCACCATATCTGAAAACCCCTTGGTGACTCTACGTGAGTTTATGAAATATAGGAGGGATTTTATCAGAGAGAAAAGTGACGCAGTTCACCTTTTTTCGTACGTAACCTTGTGTGATGTTATATTACTGGGGTTTTTTCTTTCCTTGGGGGTTGCTTCTCACAAGTGGCTGATGCATCTCCTTTCTGTTGTGTGTGTAATCCACAATAATTCAGAAAATAAAGTTTTGGATGGGGAGGTGGGAAAAAAATTAATGCACAAACTGACTGCCAGTGAAACTAGAGGTTTGCCTCTTATTTTAGTTTTAACATACTAATCCTGAGCTGCATGTGCGGTAATCCTTTGTTATTCTGTGCAACCACCTACTCCACAAGTGCAGCTATCTGAAGAGTCATGCATGGTTCCATCTCAGAGGTTGACTTCTTCAGCAGTAGAGCACAGATTATTTAAAGGCAGAACATTAGTTTTGAAAGCAGTGAGGTTTTCTGCTGAAGTGCACTATGGCCTCCTTTACTTTTTTGAATGACCTGCATGCTGCAGGATTACTGAAGTGTTTCAGATCCTTAAAACAGTTTGTTCTTCCAAGACATTTGAGCTATAAGTATACTAAACTGAGAAGATGTTATTTTCTCTAAGTATTTTAACTGTTTTGAAAATAAGATTGAAATAATAAATACAGGAGAGATACATGGCTGAGATTTTTGATCCACACATGACATGCCAGATGAATATCTCTGTTGGAGTACTTTTTTCTTTCTGCTGACTGTTTTAGGAGCCTGTAAGAATAAACTTAACCTAAACACCTCACTTCACGACTTTGGGATACCCAAGCCCGGTATCCACCCTCAGAATTTTTGCACATATCTAATTACTGCCACTGATTTCTGCCTTGAAGAAAGCTAGTAAGATCTGCAAGTGGTGCTTGCAGATTTTTGTTTCTTTGTGTCTCAGATCTTCATCACTTAAATGGGAATCAGGTCTTCTCATATCCTTTGTGTATCTCCTCTGGTGACATTGTAAAGTCTTTGAGGGGGAAGTCTGGTTTTTGTGAATGTGCGTGGATGGACTAGGACAAAGCCCGATTTGGCCTGTGGTTGGGACTCTGGATCCCACTGTAGTACTAATTCCAGTGCTATCCGTAGCACCACCAGCAATGGTTATTGTGGTATTGCATTCATGGATTGTTTAGAATCAGCAGTTTCTGAAATTGTGTTTGTGAGTGAAGCACAGCTAAGCAGGGAGGTGGGGGTAACTGGTGTGATGGTTCAGTGGTTACAAAGGAGCTTCCACCTTTAGCACAGTAGGCCCACTGTGACCCTTCTTGATATTTTTTCCTCTCACCTGAGAAAAATAATTCGCTGGATGGATCACTACTCACTCTCAGGTGGAGCAGAGTATATTTTGTCTCCAGTAACTGGCAGTCATTCATACTGTTGTGGTCAGCACCAAAGAGGTGATTAGATTTAGGCTCAGAGTGCATCTGTTCCTTGGATGAGATTGGCTGTAGTTCCAGGGAGTTTTCACCTACCTCTGCACCTTCTGCTAATGCATCTCCCCTTGAGTTTTACCACATCAGCAGTGCCCAATTAGACATGTGTCGTTTCACTAGTCCCCTGCATTGGCCTCTCCTGAACTCTACCTGGAGCATGTGCCAGCAGAAAGCACTTGCTGCAGTAGAATGTCAAGAAACAAGGGGCTGGGCAGATCCAGGTGGTTTGGCAAAGTAGTCCCCTTCTTCTTATATTAGGTAATCTGAAAAGGAGGAGGGAAGATGTTAGAAGTTTTCTGGAGATAACTTGTTATGTGAGGTTTGTGAGTGGTTATCTGTTTTTCCCATTTGGTTTTACATAATTTGCAGCATAGTGGTGGCATCCAGCATTTGCAAATGTCAGCTTCTCATCTGGAAATCAGAGGGGTAGATACTGGAATAGGCAGGTGCAAAACTCGTGGACTGAGCAGGGTAAACTTCTTTTCCTTTTCGTTTTTGTCAAAGGGGGAGTCGATTTCAGAGCAGTCGAAGTGGTGTAGCCCACACTGGTGGAATCTGTTCCTTGCTTAAAGGCGGAGGTGTGAATGAGGTAGGTGGGGATACTGGTATGAGCAAAAAGTGGTGGAAATTTTTCTGCAGGGAATTTATCAGTGCAGATCTGTTCCTCAAAATATTTTGCTTGTTTTTTACTGATGTAGACTCTTACTGCAATTCTATAGAAGGGACACTTCAATGAAGAGTGATGAGTGAATAAAGCCAATGCACTTCAAATACACTTTTAAGCAAATTCTGCAATATCGTGTCATTCATCTTTCCAGCCAAAATGCCAAGAGAGAAACAGATTTTCTCTTACTTATCTTGTCTATAAGCCAGTGTTTAGTTTTCTTCTAGCTACCCTGAAGCAAGAATTCTAACACTGTGTATCTGATTTTGCATGTTTTTGCCTTGATATGAGAAAAGCTTCACTTGAATCTGAGATACCTGTGTGTTACTGATTGCTTTTCCCACCTTGCTTGTTTCTTTCAGTTTGGAAAGCCAGACTTAATGGCAGTTACCCTGGCACAGACCTTGGCCCAAAACATTGGCATTTTCTCAGACAGAAGAAAACTTCTAAGTGGTAATTTTATTTGCTTTTTCACTCTGTCTCAAGAGAAAAATCTTAAAAAGTGGAGGACCTTATCAGTGTTTTATCAGCATCTTTCTGATATGTACTTTTTCCTTCAGTTTCTTACAATATTGGAATATTTTTATTTCTTACAGTAACACGAGAAGGGTCTGACATACTAATTTTCCTCTATTTGAATGCTCTAGTATCCCCCTGCTTGTAATTGCTGATGGCACTGGTGTCGCCATTTCAACCAAAATAAAAGTCATAAAAGTGCCTGCCACTTCCATTCATTTCAGGGAGACTGGTGTCCCACCTACAGACCAAATGGCTGCCATCTTATGACACAAGTGTGGGAATATACATTATGAGATCAGGGTATGATGAGGAACCTCCTCAGTACTGGTATATAGAACAGTTCAAACAATACAGCTTTTATCTGTTTTCCTTGATTGATTTCCTCTTGTAGATTACCCAAATATCCAGTATTTGCTACCCTACTGCTTCCACTTCTCTGCTGTAACCTCGGTATTCAGCTCCTTGGTTATGCCTGTTTACCTGCAATGCTTTAATCCCCACCATTGTGCCCAGAACAAGCACTTTGCCTTCCCCCTTCCGTGTTATATGAAGTCCCAGCTTGATATGATTAAAATAAAAATACAGTTTTGAAATAATTTAGAAAATAAACTGGGATATGGACTTACTGGACTGTGTGTGCTTATGTGGCCTATGTTTCAAAAGATAAATTACTCTATTGACTAGTGAATTTTTTTTCAGGCATTGTAAAGACAATATATAATGCAGAGATACAGCTGCATTTAAAGGGTTTTTTTTTCAGATTAATCCTATCTTTTAAAATACTCAGAGATGTAGGACCGATGCTCTATCATACAGACATGCTCAGTATTCATTTTCCAGCCACATAGTTTTGAGTGGATGTAGGGGCAGGGTAAAAGTGAAAATTATAATAGTGGCAACTCCCTTTCTTAATGGCTGAGAGGGTTAGGGCACTGTTTTGGTAGGGAGAGAGGAGAATGCAGTTGTTAGAGCTTTGTTTGCTTTCTAATTGTACTTTTAAAATGGAAGCAATAAACTGATCATGTATACAGTAAGAGAAGTTATGGAACATACAAGTGGAAAGCATTTCTACTGAAATTAAAGCAAGACACAGGTTTGAAAAAGGAGGATTGAGACCAGAGCAAAGTGATCCCAGCTGGCAGGACAGAAGGAAGTTGTATGGGGAAGGGAGGTAAGCAGGGGAGGAAAGAAGGGAGGGAGTAAGAGCAGAGGAAGAAGCTGATAGATCCTGCTCTACTATTTTGTGTTTATTGATCATTCCATGCTTTTTTTTTTGGTCTGAATTATTGTTTGGGGTTTTCCAAGGGAAGATTTTCAGAATCACCTTACCATAGTTGAAGAAGAGAACTAAAAATAATAGAAACTCTGAAAATTTTTTAGCTCTGAAAATCTGGGAAATGAGTATTATCACAAAGGAGAAGACAAGAAAGCTGACTCATGATTTGCAAGTTCAGAAGGCAAACACTGCATTTTCCTTTAAGAGAAGGAAAGAAAAACAGGACATATTTTCAAAGCTCAGGATTGCATAAAATCATGTAGAGTTTTTAAAAATTTTGGCAAGATGCACTGATAAACTAAAGTGTGCAATAAGCCAGCAAATTATTCTTTTCAACTTGTCTGGAAATACGAAATAGAATTGAGTACAGTGTGCTTTTCATTATAAGAATTGTATTATTTTGGACTCACAAGACTTAAGATGTAACTTGTTATTTTATCCTTTTTATTTTTCTGGGCAGGTGAATGTAAATGTGAGGACATGTGGTCTGGATGCATAATGGGAGATATGGGGTAAGGCATTTCACTAGAGAAAAGTAATGGTTTTCATGCAGTGAAATAATGGAAAATTTTCTATTTTGTGGTTCAGCAGAATATTTTTGATGACTCAATTTTCAGATCGTAAAGTATTAGGTACATACCATATAGAGACACCTTTAAAGAAATGTGAGAATAAGTGAGTTCATGAGACAGCCATGTGAGGATTTTTGGTGAATGCTGATTTAACTTGGAAAGCACAAGGCTCAACAGTCAAGCCAGGTCATTGCAGAGAAGCAGAAACAGGCTTGTTTTCTCATGCAAATTGCTATTGAGATCCAAAACAATGACACACCCTAATTCTTGAAATCCTATAATCAAATTTTTGAGGCATGTCTCATTTTCAGTGTTTTTGTTGGAATATTTCATCTATCTCTGTCACTTTTTATCACACAGTTTGTGTGATATTGTTAGAAAAACTGCCCCCATTGGAGGTTGAGTATGTTCATACCCATGTGTAGTGTCACTTGTGAGATTTTAACACAATGACTGGTGAATCTGCAAATTTTTGCTGGTTGATGAAATTTGATACTTTCTGAACCCTAATAGTTTTTATTACAGGCCTGTCTATTATCAGGCATATGAATTACATTGTAGTCTAGCTTTAGATGTGAGTTACATTGTATTCTAGTTTTAGATGTAGACAGGGCTCAGTTTTTAACTAATTTTGAATGGATCCACACATTTTCACAATAGCATTGTGATCAGAAAAATTTTGAGCAAAGAAGTATGTCTTATTCAAACCTCTATGAAATTGTGAATGGTGCCCTTTTCATCTTAGAATACCTGAAAACATACCTGGTAGGATTTTTCTGGTTTTTGGTAAGTTAAAAACCCAGTCTGAGAGGCATTTTTGATTCTTATAAAAGTTATAAATTCCCATGTTAGGGCCTTTAAATTCTTTATCTGAAGTTCAAACCTTTCACATAATTTGGTACATGAAAAAGCCTTGTATTTACCTAGCTTATTGCTGAACTTTGGTGAAATCTACAGCCTCTGTAGTGTTTAGGCCAAATTAATGAGCATTGCAGGTGGAAAAGCCAATTATGTTTTGGAAACTATCTCTCTCAGCAGTGCAGGATAGCACTTTGGCTAATATTTTTATATCCAGTGGTGAGGTGATAGAGGAAAGCCCTTGAGACTCCAAAATCTCCTTGAAGCATAAGTACTTTCATGACTATGGACCTGAATATAAAGATCACTGCAATTGCCTTGGGAAAAGTTATTTCCCTGTGAATAGGATCCATGCAAATATTCTCTGCATCACATATTTTTAGGTGGGGCACAGTGCCTCAGGGGCACTCTGTACTCAATTGAAATTTACTGAGTGGGACATATGACAGAGGGAAGCTGAAATGTTAGGTGGTGTTTGCTAGAATCATGTTTAAAATGGCATAATTCTATTATATAAAAATTCTGTGGGTCAGGGGAACCATTTCCTCTAAGAGGGAAACAAACTATAAGCTGTCTTTTTCTCCTGCACTTTGCATGGGAGGAAATAAATGTATTTCTGGGATCAGGCCTGTTAGTGGAACAAGTCATACTTCTGCAAACTACACACTTTAATCAGATTTGTGCTGTTTAGCATGTAAAAACTTAGTGAAATATTCTAGACTTCTCACATGCCATGAGCTTTGTGTCATTGTTGAAATTTCCTTGTTATTTAGTGGAAGGATTTTTAAATCAAAAGAAATAGAAAAGTCAGATAGACTTACAGTCACTCTGATTTTGAACAGCATGTTTTCATTATTTTTATGAAGTATAACATTATATTTCTTCTGTTTCAAAAAANAAAAAAAAAAAAAAAAAAAAAACAACAACAGTGTAAAAAGCACCAGAGAAAGTAATCCTTCTACCTTATTCTGTTAGGTACTATCTTCCAAGCAAGTTCTCTGAGTGTGATATTGAAGAGTATCATGAATTTTTAAACAATGGAGGTGGAGCCTGCCTTTTCAATAAACCAACCAAAGTAAGCATTAATTTAATGTTTAATATGATTTCTATTCTATTGCTGATTTTGATGAAAACAAGAAAAATGAAAATTATAATGTTGGAAAAAAACCTGTAGTTTTGATAGTTCTGGTTCTCTCTAAGTTCTAACTAGTCTGGTAACATATGGGTGTAAGTAGATTATTTTAGTCCATAATAGTTTAGAAATTACTTTAAAATAAATTTCTGATAAAGTGGTTTCATATCCAGTAGAGTATTCACAGCCTCTGATCAAGACTCATCCCTCACACAATTTGTTCTGAATACTGTGAATACAATATGATTTTTTATTTAAAATAGGTCTGCAATGCAGGATTTGCCCCAGTGTTTTGGTATATTACTGCTCCATTTGCTGAAGCATGTGTTAAAATGTAAAGCAAGCAGGATAATGATCTTGACTCTTTTCTATACATAATTAATGTTAACCTGTATTTAATGTCTGTCATTCAACAAGCAAAGGGAAAGAGGCTAAGGCAGTAAGATAGTTCAATGTGGAAAAAAGACTTATCTGGTAGCTGAAGTGGTCACAGATGTAAAAGAGAAGAAAGTAATTTCAGGAGTGATGCATGTTCCTTCTGGTGAACATGAGAAAAACTGCATCTTCTGATAACCACAGAATTTCAATAAAACTTAAAGAAGGAAAGAGAAAACATCAAATATGGACAAGCTAAACCTGCTTATCTCTTAAAGGTCCCTTTTGATGAAAGAATATATTATTAAAAGTATAGAGAAAACACTGTAATTCGTTAATTAGATGTAAAACTTCTTATTTAAAATGTACCTGAGTTTTAGAAGTTTGTTTTTTTCTATCTCGTTAAAGGTGGAGAGAAATACTGGTAGACTTATTTACTTGCCAAGCTTATTGTTTATATAGTGTAGTGTGTCTTACTTGGTTTATTTTAGTGATTGTGTTCATTTACACATCTGTGAGTTGGAAAAAACAATTACTCTCCTTTCAATTTAGTTTGGCAGCACTTTAGTTTTTTTGGTTGCTTTTTTTTTTTTGATGACATGCCTAAATGTGAGTTAGATGTGGAAACCAGGGTGATATAGTCTCTTTTATGCATTGTGGTTTGGGTTGGTTGAAATGTTTTGTCAATGGATGTCTGTCTAATTAACAATGCTGTCAAAGGTGTTTCCTAGCAAGGGTGGTGAGACACAAACTTGTTTTTGTTTTTCAAGCATTATGAGATAAAGGAAAGCTGATGTGACAAGATGCAGTGTTTGGCAGTGCTCCACTCTTAGATCAGCTATAATCTCAAACATCATATCAATGGCTGCTGGAGCAAATTGAACATATGCACTTTTCAAATGATTGGATGAATGATATGACTTTGGGGAAAGGTTATCCAATTTGCTTTTAATGTTCGGATTTTTTTCTTCAATTTCATTTTTAGCTGTCCCTATGTACTGCAGCACATTGGCCCAGTATTTCAAGGCAGAATTCTCTGTTACTGCTATCTCTTTGTCTCTGCTGTGCAACACACCAAGAGATATTGAAGAAGTTATGCTTTCTGGAAAAATACATAGGAAACAAGCAGTTTAAGCAGCTCTTTAGTAATTCTAAAGGCTTGCATACATTTTATGTTAAATTCTACGTATGCATTGCATGCTGTAGTCAAATTTCCATTTTAATAGGGGATGTAATAATAACACATCAGCCTATGCCAGGCTGTGGTTTGTGGCACAGTGAGGTACGTGGGGTGATGCTCCATCCTGTGGACTCCTGACAGAAAGGCAGCAGCTGGTGAGAAATGCTCTGCACCATGTACAATGTACTTGTGCAGATGGCTCAGGAGCAGAGGGGTTTTTGGAATGATCCTAGTTTAATTGGAGAACTTGAAGGCTGAGCTGCAAAATGTTAGTCTGGTGACACACTATTATGTTTTCTTATGTCCAAAGGAAAAAAAAAAATATTTTCTTTTAGAAGAACTACCTTTAAAAGTTTCAGGAAGACAGATAAAATTAGACTGGAAAGAACAGAATATCAGTGTCCCTTAAATATAAAAAATATAAAGATTTTGATCTTTTAAGTTAGAGTCCAGTGGGAAGGCTGAAAGGAAAGGGAGGAATCCTCATCATCCTTCTTGTGCATATCTACCTGTGTGTGATACATACTTACAGAAAACTGTGAAAGTTCCCAACTGTGGTAGAGGAAAATGGAAAGAAGAATCCAACTGCAAGAAAAGAAACTAACAAAGAAACTGAGCATCTCTGCTTCCCAAGCAGTTCTGAGCCACTAAAAAGACTGCTTTTTATGGCTATTACTTCTGAACTTACAGTACAGTCTTTAACCTTTTGGTCATTGTCTCTTGAACTCTAGAACAACACCAATTGCAACCACTATGAAGATAATGAAATTGTCATATCTTTATTTCTTTTTCCTTTATTTTCATAGCTTTTTTTTCTTCACTGTAACTTCTGCTCAAACAGAATTTACTGTTAAGTTGACACCTATGCACAGAAGATACCATGTGACTCGGTAGCATTGCTGTATTTATTTTCAGGAGTGCTCATTCTCTATATGTTTCAATTGTGTTGTGTCACTCTGTGTGTCCCTGAGTTGTGGGAACTGCTTTTCAGTTAATGCATTTGGAGAGCTAGCTTAAAAACCATGTTGTACTGAGCAAATATGACAATAATTCCCTTAAAAGAGACATGTCCTTTGATTTCTGAATTTCCATGCAGCTTCTGGATCCTCCAGAATGTGGCAATGGCTTTGTGGAAGATGGGGAGGAATGTGACTGTGGGACAATAGCGGTAAGTGTGATGTACTAGATTTGTCCAAGAGTTGGTACTGCACATTGCTGCTGTTCATGATAAGTGAAGGAAGACAAGCAAGGTGAAGGTTGTGTGCCCAAGGATTCATAATAATAGCTGCCTGTGCAGAATCAGACCTTCAGAGGCAAGAAAGAAAGCATTTTCCTAGGTGGAAACACTCATCAGTGCTGTTAGTATTTAATGACAATATAAAGTTAGAAAAATTATTTTCTGTCTTGCACAGGAAGCAGCAGTTTCATGCTCCACAAGTATATGCCTTTTTCTGCCTCTAGGTGCCTAAAGGAATGAAAAAAATCCATTCAGGTAGCATGCTAAGAGCAGTAATAAGAGCTTGGGGTTCATGTGCTTTTCCCATGTATTCTGTTCTGTATGTGCTCCTCAGGAGTGTGCCAGTGAAGGAGGAGAGTGCTGCAATACCTGCACCCTGACCGCGGGCTCCCAGTGCAGCAACGGGCTCTGCTGTCGGAAGTGCCGGGTAAGGGCAGTGACCCTCACTGTAGCAGCCTGGTGGGAATGCATCCAGGTGGCTGCAGGCACTACAGCACTTGTATTTTCCCTTGCAGACGTTGTGATTACTCTTCTGAAAGCTTACCTTTTAAAACTGGCTGAAATCTGATTTTTCTGAGGCTGTACTCTGTCTTTTAGGCTTGGCTTTTTGGGGCAGGGACTGTCATCAAATGCAGAGGTAAATTGAATCCTTCCAGTTTCAGACAAGTTTGAATCAGATTGAAGTTCTATGAGATCTCATTAGACATCCTTGCTTAAAGAATAAATTAACCATAAAGGTTTCATTAGAAGTCCTTGTTTTTTCACTATAAGGATGATGAGTCACTGGAACAAATTGCCTAGACAAGCTGCAGATGCCCCATCCCTGGAAGTGATCAAAGCCAGGTTGGATGGATCTTTGAGCAAGTGGAAGGTGTTCCTGCCCCTGGCAGTGGTGGTGGAGCTAGATGATCTTTAAGGTCCCTCCCAACCCCAACCATTCTGTCATTCTGTGAACATGCACATCCTTATCCAGGTGCCACTCCCAGTGCCATCCATATGTGTTGTTCTGGATTTGCCCCATGAGACTGAATGGGAAAATCACACCACAGAGTGTCTGAGGGAAGGATAGAGTAAAAAACACAAAAGCGCAGCCAGCAGAATTACTCAGAAAGGTTCATCTAAACAACACCTGACTTCAGTTTCAGTTTGGTCTGCCTGTGTCTCCTTATGTTTGGACTGACTGAAATCCCGTTGAGTAAAGGGAATCAAGCCCTATGTAAACTGTAAATTATTCTTCTTGATACATCAGTAAATAGTAAAAGGAGATTTAACCAGATCATGGCTGTAAGGGAGCCCTGTTAAATATGACTTCAAATAGTTGTTTGTACTAGTTTAGTAATAAAGATAATTAGTTTTAATGTAGTTAAAACTGTGGTGTACTATGTGTGATATTTTTATCTTTGTCTCTACACATTTGAGGGTTTCATTCCCTTAGGAGAATCATTAATAATAACTCTGGATCACATTCTTGACTTTGTCCTCATCCTAATGTTAAAAAAAAGAAAAAGCACAGATTATGCTGGAACACATCACATTTCCCTAAGCACATTCCCCTTTTTAAATGTAATAATTTAAAAATCAGCAGATTGCCAGTGTGGGTGAATTTTGCTCAAGAATCAAAGTTGCATAGGTACCACATTAAAGACTATCAGAACAAAACAAAGCTTTTGTATACCTATCTTATTTTTTTGCAAATGAGAGAAGGATTTATCTCCTTTCAGAGTGGCAAGGATGAGTGACTGAACAGAAAAGTAGAATTTTACTACAGTGTTTATCAGAACAACTCAAAAGACTCTATGTAATAACTCCCAAACTTGGGGTTACTTTCCCCTGTAATATCCTGCCTGAAAGCAGGAGTGAAGAATGGGTTACAAGCAATACATGGTAATTATACGTCCCAGAATCCTGTAGTGTCTCTGACAGCATTTGTGTCTGCATTTTTCTAGTGACTGGTGGAAAAAAGAAGCTGAGGGTTGAGAAAGTACTGTAGCCTAGCTCTTCCACTGATGTGTGCCTGTTCACACCAGCTTGGAATTAGCAGTTGTCCCCCCAAAAACGTATGTGCACGCAGATCCAAAAAAAGAAAAAAAATCACAGGCACAGGCTTGCAAAATGAACTGGGTTTCACAGTCTTAAGAAAATTTTTGAGGAAAAATAAGGAATCTGTAATATGTCTATGACCAGAAACATTAAAAATTGCCTCAAATGAGATGTCTTCCTTCTTTTCCAGGTCTTGAGACTTAGCACATAATTCTTTAGCCAAAATGTCTGTATTAGGTTACTGGTACACTTTTCATTGTTAAATATCCAGTCCCTTAAAAAATGGTGTCAAATGTACAGAATCCAGTGTACTTATTAATAGTTCCTGTTCTGCAACAATAATGGGGGATTAAAATAACCAAAGTGTTATACATAGAGCTCTGTGGTATTCTTCATCCCTAGAGAGAGATCAGGATGACTTTTTCTGCTCTGTAAAAAAGAGTAAAATAGTCACAAAAGGCACAGTGATCTGGTAGGATAATTGTCCTGGTTTAGGGCAAATTTGGGAGAGAACCTCTGAAGGGGTTCCTGTAGAAAGCAGATTAAATCGGCCCCTCCCCCAGCTAGTTCAGGAAAAAGACTTCCTTGGAGAAAAGTGGAAAATTAATAAAGCTGCCAGCCACTGCAGTATTGGTTTGGACACCCCCAGGGGTCCTCTGTCCCAGGAGAGTCTTCTCCTGCTTGGCCCCACAATCCACACCCTTGGGAGGGGGTGCCTCAGAGAGTGAGGGGTACCACTTGCACCAGTAAATGGCTTGAGTGGTGCAGCATACACACCAAGGAAAGAGAATCTTCCCACTTCAGTCGGTATGTAAATATTTCCCATTTTTTATTTTAGATAGAACTGTAAGGAAGCATTGCATTTAAGACAAGATATGGAGAAACTAAGACACTAATTTTCTATGCTTTCTTTTTCCAGTTTGAACCTAAAGGAGTTTTGTGTCGAGAAGCAGTGAATGATTGTGATATTGCAGAGAACTGCACAGGAAATTCCAGCCAGGTGATTTTTATGTCTCCTATTCATGAAACAAAAGAACCCCACTTGTAATCTCAAAATCACTATGAATGTTTTGTACAGTATTGTGTATAAAAATTGTGCTAAATCAGTTGATGCTGAAAAAAACCAGAATGATACTGAAATGATTTTTCATATGACTTTTGTTGTATAAATTGCTTTCATGTTCATCTGATATATGATCTATTAATTATTTTCTCTTTCTATAGTGTTCTCCTAATATTCATAAAATGGATGGATATTCATGTGATAACAGACAGGTAATTAGGATTTCAGTTTGTTTTACATTCTTTCTTCTATTATAGATTGCTTTGTATGGATTTTGTTTTAGGATCTTTGGAAGTCACTTGGGACAGTTGAGCTAACATTCATGACTTTTGGATGTTAGTCATATTTCTAATAAAAAGAAGATAGAATCACATATTCTTTGCCTCAAAGTGTGTGACTAATCTTTCTATTATAGAAATACATATTTTGGAAAATAAAGTAATTTGAAATATTTTCTGTGTTTTTTTTCTTTCTCTCTAGGGTATTTGCTTTGGAGGAAGATGTAAAACCAGGGACCGGCAATGTAAATATATCTGGGGTGAAAGTAAGTGAATGTTTCTGTTTCAAAGTTGGTTGTAATACATGTGACTTGAAAGACTATCTTGGCTAGGAAAAATTATGGAAGGGACATACTGAGAACTTTTGAAAACATCTAGAACAGTATGTCTCTCCCTTTCTTTCACTCATAATTTTGTCTTTCCATCCTCTTTTCCTGCTCTTTCTCTAGTGTTGGTTAACTTACTGGTATTTGTTCTGAAATCTGAAACTTTAGTTCTCATTAATAACAACTAGGAAGCATGTACTCATGTTCATTAGTTTATTTCAGTGGGGACATTTTTGACCAATAAACTCTCATTAATCTGAACAAAATTTAACAAAAGTCCAGTGGTGGCATCATAAAGCTTTTAACGGAGAAAAGCACTGTGCAGGGTTTCATGGGCCACCTGCAGATCATAGTGTGTCAGTTCACAAACTGGGAAGCTCTGCTTGCTTTGATTGTGTATCCCCATTTCTCATGACATGGCTTTTCAAAGTCATCATCTTAGAAGAGATTTGTTTCTGTTTTTAGAAGTGACAGCTGCTGACAGGTACTGCTATGAGAAGCTGAATATTGAGGGGACTGAGAAAGGAAACTGTGGAAGAGACAAGGACTCTTGGATACAGTGCAATAAACAGTAAGTCGATCCATTTAGAAAGCTACTAGATGAGATTCTTACCCCTGATCCAGTTCTTAAGTTGCCATGAAGAGACTCAAAAAGCCCCTCTATGGATCAGATTTCTGCAGACCTTTGTGCAAGAAGTCCTGGAGGGAGTAGGATGCCAAGAAGAGATGATCCCTGACAAGACAGCATCATCTAAGCTTGGGAGAGCTTGGACCAAAAGTGGCCTCAGTGAGGGTTATCAGTGCAGAGGAGAGAAGCCTTTGGTTTCACATCTTAGTGTGGTGTTCACTTTTTATGCTGTGCCATTGCACTGCTATGTTTTGTTCACTTTTCATGGTATTGTAATTTTCCAAGTATATTCCTGCAAGTCGCTGCCTAAAGCATTTTTTTCACATTGTGCATATATGGAGTTTATTATTTCTGCCAATTTCTCAACCTTTCACCAGACCTTATGAAACTCTTTTTTAAGATTTCTCCATTCTGTCCATGACATTTGATTTCTAGTTCTGCCTACAGGTGAACTAATGCTCCTTCCCACTTTTTAAATACAGATTTGCTAACCTTACTTCTGCTCCATTACAAATTCATAAGTAAAAAATATTCAGTAATATGGGAGATGTTAGACCCTACTATTCTGTCAGTGCAAAAGTCTCCACACATGAGTAGTGAAGTCCCTTCAGCAGTTGAATTAAACTTGGTGTCTATAGTTCTCTTACATATGTGTCCTATGAGAGTGTATTTAGAATTAGTATCTATTGCTCCCCTATGGACCAGTTACTGTATCTTAATAGATCATTAAATCAGTTTGGTGTGGTGTGTTCTTGACAGCTCCCTGCTTGTTATTACTCAGGGCATTTTTGATTATGTATTATAAAAAGTTTACCCAATCTAACTTCCAAGGGAAGAGTTTTCTTGGGAAACACCATCACATATGGGAGTTATTGTCAGTGGGAGAAAATCAGGGAATAACAAATAGGTTACCAAGCTAGTGATCATATTTTTGATTGTCCATTTTCATTGAATTTTATTTTTTATGAGCATCTGTTTATTCTTTCAATGCAGGGATGTGCTTTGTGGATACCTTCTGTGCTCCAATATATCCAGCATACCCAGACTTGGAGAACTGGATGGTGAAATCACAACATCAATCTTGCACTATGGAAAAGTGTACAATTGCAGGTAATTGGAAATCCTGAAAACAGAACAATCGATATCCATCTTGCATGAAAAAGCAGCGTTCTCATTTCTAAGTGGAGAGAAACTGTTTCCATTAATTTATTTTCTTATTAACACATAGCCATTAGTTCAGTTCAACCTTTGTTAGGCTTCAGAAAATTAACTGCCTGTGGGGCAGTTTTGCAGTCCCCTCAGTAGTTAATTTTGCCTGTAGAGATGTAATGCACCTCTCAGGCTCTGTGATTTTACATTCTTTAATATTTGTGAAGTGCTTCATGTACCCAGAATACTTGAGACATATGCCTGCACTGCCAAACTTAACTGGTAGCCTAATTCACTGCTATATTGTAGCTGAATTCTAATTATAGACGTGGTATGTTTTGATAGCTTCACACAAGCATAAGATGAAATTATGTCCTAAACAAGTAAACTGAATTTTGTCTAACTCAGGCTGTTTCACAGGAAAAATGATCCTTGTGTTCATGATTTCATTTTTTTGGTGTAGATACACTGTTTTGGTTTCTTTCATGAGCTCACTGAGGCAATCCTCACTCTTACCTGTCCTGGGCACTGTGTAGTACCAAAATGCAGGGAGCAGCCCTGGGCCCAGATTCCCAAGCAGTCCCATCTAATCACAGCACAAGTCCCCAGGGTCCTCTTGACTGTCTTGCAGTGGTGGCCACGTGAAGCTGGATGAGGACACGGACCTGGGCTATGTGGAGAACGGGACGCCGTGCGGGCCGGACATGGTGTGCCTCGACCATCGCTGCCTCCCCACCGAGGCTTTCAACTTCAGCACCTGCCCCGGCACCACCGACAGCCAGATCTGCTCCGGACACGGCGTATGTTCCTGCCCTCTTTAACACTTTCTGCTGGTTTTGCTGGGCCTGGCCTAGTCTACCAGCTGGACCTTTCAGAAAGCAAGCAGTTTGACTAGAAGTCATAAAACTGGAGAAGTTTTTGAAAAGGAAAAGGGAAAGAGGCACATAAGTAAATATAACGCATTCCAGTCCAGGCATCTTAAACAATGAATCATAGTTAGTGTTAGTTTTACAGAATTGTATCAATCAATGATTTTGCTCACTTTTACTAACTTGATTAGTATTTTTTTCAGCAATGCACTGGAGAATAAATACAGAGGTTTTCTGAACTGAGAAACTTGGGTCTCTGTTCTTACAGAGACCTGTTCTTTTCAATTCCCTCTTTATCACATAAATAGCCAAGAAGTTTCATGAAGTTGTTGATGATGTTGGATTTTGTGGGCTGAGAGTTCCTTTACTCTGGAAAAGAGGGCAGAGAGCTGGCTCTTGGCTAGTTTCTCTGCTCTGTGTGCAGTCTGTGGCTTCACTGTGGCCCTGGTGAGCCACCTTGTCCCTGACATAGTTTAACACAACATCCAAGGCCCTGTGACTGAGCTGGGATCAAGGAAGCTGTTCTCTCCTAACATCTTTTATCTTGTACACCGCATTAAAACTTCCTTATTTATCTGAAATCATGCACTTCTTCATATTTTGAAGAAAAAAAAAGTCATTAAGATCAGTTTCCCAAAGCAATTATAAATGCTTCTATTAAATACAGATTATGTTAAAGTATGTACTGAGTAAACATTACATCTATTTATATAAATAGAATAGCACATTTAATGCATTTATACCTAACATAAATTAAAAATTGCTATATATTAGAAGTTATTTAGCAAAATTTTGTGAGCAGTAAAATCATGGCTTTATCACTGTACCTATACTTGAGGTATTAATTATGGGAATGAATGAATAATCTGATTTTTTTCTGAGCTACACTCTTGACTGCAGGTTTGTAGCAATGAAATAAAATGTGTCTGTGACCGATTCTGGGGAGGAGATGACTGCAGTTCTCACATCAAAGACGATCTATTTTTTGATAAAAATGCCATCAATAAAGGTATGTTGTTAAAATTTTTACCAACAACTGAAAATTCTGGGATTTGAAGAAAGTTCATTAAGCAAAACTAGGTCTCCTACTCTTTCAGTTAGTACACAACATGCAGCATCAGAAGCCTCATTCCCCTCTCTCCTTCCACAGCAGAAGCACTCAGTGTCTGTAGATGAAGCCTCAGCCTGTGCATCTTTGGGAACTGGTATCAGTCGGTTCAGTTCCCCCATGCTTGTTCCAATCATCTGAGTGGCCTTATTAGGCATAGTGATAGATTAGGACAAGCAAAAGGTTACTGGGACGTTCCATATCTAGATGGAAAGCTAATGCCTGACTTTTATATTTTTGGAGTGGAAGTTTTTATTCCGCTTGTCTTGAATACAAAAGAAAGATATATTGTGGGAAAATGAGATTGTAAATGTTGGTCGTTAGAAAACTTCCAGAATCATTCATTTGCTTAATTTATTCAGCTATGGAAGGCATCTGAGAAAAACCAAACAAGTAGTCACTTTTATTCCATGGTAAGCATGTATTTGTAAGGATGTAATCTACAGCAGTTTAATGCTGATAATACTGTTTTGGCATACCTGGCACAGATTTCCCATGTAACAAGCATTCAGTTAATTGAAACAGACACAGAAGTAAAAGCTTGATTTGCAAGTGATCTTGTAAATAATTTTTAAAGTGATCTTTTTATGTCCAAGCTATGCTTCAGGAGTTTATCACGGGTTACAATTAATCAGCCTAGTGAAAGCTGTTCCAGCTGATTTTTGAAAGATGGTGCATTTACTGCTTTTGTGTATTTTTCTTTTAAAACCATGTATATTTTTGTCCTAAAAACATGTATATTTTTCTCCTAAAACCATGTATATTTTTCGTCTTTCTTGTGTTTCCAGGTGTGGTTAGCACAAATATAATAATAGGGGCTATTGCTGGCACCATTTTAGTGTTGGCTCTCGTTTTAGGAATAACTGCTTGGGGTTACAAGTAAGTACATTTTGTTCTTCCTAATTGAGTTTCAAAATATGTGTATTTCATGTGATAGCTGATTATATTTTGAAAATAACAATTCAAAAAATCTAAAAAATCCAAATTCAACAATATTTATACAGTAACATTTTTGTCATATTAACATTTTACAAGCAATTCTTACATTTGTATGTGGTTTTAGAGAACTTGATCCAAATTTGAAATTTATTTCTCACTTAGTAATTTCTTTTTTTTTTTTAGATGATCAGATTATGATTTTGCTGTATGTGACAAAGGAAATGCAAGAATATGATCTGATTAAATTACAAATTTTTCCTCATGATGAAGTAAATATAGCAAGATTAGCTCTCAGTCAGCCAGCAAAGCATTTAACCATAGGATTCATTAAATAGATGATTATATTTAGTCAGCTTAACCTGAAAATAATTCAAGCACATATTTTTGTAGGAAAGATCTGCAATTTGCAAATAAGGATCAAATTCTCTCCTGGGGTAGAGATGTCACCGCTCACTCAGAGGCAAAATTGATTACATTAGCCTGATTGGTCTTTTCCTGTTTTAATTATTTTATGAATTTCTTATAAAACAGAGGTATTTATATTGTTTGCTTGTAGTAAAAAAATATTCAAGGTACTGACTTTATCATCTGTGTTTGGATGAGACTGTCTCTTGAAGTCGTTTGTCCCTAGGTCCTTGTGCCTGGAGGGCAGGGCAGGCTCAGCTGCAGGCTCAGCTTCAGGCAGTGCTGTGCCTGGGGCACAGCCTCTGCTGGTTTGCCAGACTGAGGTAGGCTGAGGGCAGCTCAGAAATACGTAAGGAAAGAAGCATTTGGAATAAAAACCATGAAAATGAGGATTGTAGAAAAACAGGATATACTGTCTTGGTATATCACCCTCAACTTCTAGCAGTATCTGAAAATCTGGACTCTAAAAGTTAAGGGCTCATTTTGAGATCATGTCTAGCCAGTGGGATTGATTTTTGGAGGTTCAGGATGAGAGTGCACCTCTCACTAACTGCTTCACAGTGAACAGGTTTAAACCCAGCATGAACTGCACCTTACACTCAGCGCTGATGAACCGTCTACATGAATATATTTTTCTATTTAATTCTAATGTATAATACTTCTGATATAGTATATTTGTGAATGTGCTTATTTCAGAAGTGATTTTGTAGAAATATTTTGAGCAAAAATTTCATTCTGTATAGAGTGCTTTTCTTTTTACATTTTTTGGTCTTATTGACCATGTGTACCTGCATACTAAAAACTCATTCTTCTTCCTTTCTCTTCTGTTTATATGGAAAGAAACTACAGAAGACAGAGGTATGTGATAAAAGTAGTGGAATGGATCTTAGAAGTCTCTGAAAATAGCTTTTCTTCTCTTTCGCTCATTTACATGCTACAAAGAAAATATTGAGATGGGTTATCATATTTTAAATAATATGTGAAATCAGTATTCTATAATGCATTGCTTGAAATCCTGATTTCACTGGATTCAGTAGCAAAACCAATGTTTTTTATACTTCTGCAATAGACTGTTTCATTTAGGAAAACAGGAGAATATTTCCAGTAAGAGACACTGAAAATCAGCTATTAGAGATGAAAGTGTTCTTGGGAGGCTAAGAACTGAATAATTAATATTAACATGATGTTCAGGAGCCTTTTGAGACAAATTAATTCCTGGAGCTTCTTTGCAGTTAAAAATACAATGCAATTAAATTGCTATGTGGACAAAGAGCCCATTCTTTCCTGTCACCCTGTTCCATTGATTCATAGCTAAAGCACAGTACTGGCTTCAGCACAGGGCTGAGCGTTCATCATTTCAAACTTGTGGCCAAAAATAAACCGTTTTCCTAGTGACTTATGTTTGGCTCCTGGAAGACCACCTCCCTTTGATTAGGCATCTGCCTGGCAGATGGGTCTTGTGGGAAGGAACTGGCTCCTTCCTCTCCCAGTCCCCAACACATAAGCGGATTTCTCGAATTCCCCTGTTTTCTGCCTGTATTGTTGCCTTCTGCTCCAAGCTGCTGCTTTGTTTGTTGCTGCTACCCGTTGTGCTTGTTCTCCATTTCCCTTTGTGTAGCGCTTTCTCTGCCAGGCTCAAAATATTTGTAAAAAGTGGAAAAGCCCTGTCAAGTGCTGGTTGTGTGCTACAGGGTCAGATAGGCCACAGGTACAGTAACAAGTAAAAGGCAACACTATTGAAGTCAGGCTTTATGCAGAGGCTGGTGGGTAGGAAATGCCACCGAGCTCAAGGAAGGCAGAATTTAAGGGTTTGGTGCTGCTTAGTGGAAACTGATGTATCTACAAATGGAGACTAACATGGCCATCAAGTCATTCTGCTGTGGATGTTTCAGTATTGGCTGAGGACAGAGCAGAAAAAACATCGAAACAGAGTCCACCCCCATGTATGTTTGTATTGTAATATTAGAGAATGTAACTTCTTCATATATCTTCATCTCCAGAAATTGCTTTATGGCCAGAGAGCTGTGAGTGTGCAGCCAGTCTGCAGCTGTATATGAGAGCACAGGCAGAGTGGGAACCAACATAAGCTGAGGCTTCTGAATGGAGGACTCCATCATTTTAAAGATGAGGAAGATATTTAATAACTAAATCTCCTTCATGCATAAAATGAAGTTCTGTAGGCTGACTTCAAAATAGAATACTTGTGGATTAGTACAAGGTGTGCTCCATAAATGAAAAAACATACCCACCAGATTGTCCAGACAGTCCCTTAAAAAAAAAAAAAAAAAAAGTACTCCTTCAATAACAATGAAAACAAGACAAGCCATTATAATATTTTTGAACATGACATAAGGATTAGCAAGTTGAAACAAGTAAGTAGAGCCAATTAGCAAGGATTCTGCCAGCTGGAATAGTGTGGCTTTAAAGGGCACAGCTACATGGGAGAAGTTATAGCTGATGGAGTAGCAAGAGAGCAGTTTGGTAGAGGAACCCTGGGGAGCAGAGCTGCCCACGCTGAGCCAACTCTGAACACACCCATGTGCCAGCTGAGGAATGGGACAAGAACTGAAACTCCAGAGGTGTTAGAAGATGAAGAATTGACGTACTGCATTGCACTAATGAGTTATGTGCCATATAGTTGTATACTTTACATACTTTAGAAGCAGTAGAATTCCAGATATGGGATAGAGAGGTCCCAGTTTAGGTCTGTAGTTGGACACAATCTGAATATTAATCAACCTGGAGCAGACTGTAGCAAAAATGTCTTGGAAAGTGTGAGATTGAATAAATACTGATGCTGATATTATGAAATGGTCAACTGTAAAAGTAATTACCTGTACTTGGGAGGATTTTTAAACCTGGTGGAGTTATAACTGGAATATTTGCATGGCAGGTATTCTCTGCTGGCAATGAATTCACCATCTGCAAAAACTTTGCATAACTTGATTAGAACTTTCTAATGCACAGATAGATTTTTGTTTGTTTGTTTGGTTTGTTTTTTTTTTTTTTTACCATAACTGAGCTTCTAATTCTGGAAAAGGATAAACTATTACATTACTGTCATGTGTCTTGGCAGATTGAGTCTACTACTGTGGTAATCAGGAGTAGCTGAGAATCTCTGACACTGGCGTTAGTTATTTTACACAAGAATTCAGTTACAAACCGGAGGCTTTTGTCCTCCTGAGATTTAAACAGCTCAACAGATTGCTACTCTTAAATTCTAGCATGATCACAAAAGTTAAATGGTAAGCATCTACCTCAGAAGAAAAAAAGCATTCACTATTCCTGAGCTCCTCTTTGATGCAGGCATGTATTCAGCTTAGGCTCAGTACTATTGTTTTTTGCAACCAGCATGATGAGCTGTTTGAAATGTCTGGACTGGTTATCCAGTGTCTAATGAATCACCTAACTCTTCACTTTGAAAGCTGTGGTCAGAGTTAACGTTTTTCCTTGTTTTCTCTTTCCAAAACCACATAATCCACTCTTCTGCACATAACAGAAGCGTGTGTGAGTTTTCTCTCAGATGGTTGAATTATTTAATAGCTTTATGGTGTGTGGTTAACAGGTTTTCTCAAGGATTGTTATCCTTGCCTCTTTCTTTTAAACTAACGTTCATGCATGTTTGTGTGCATTCTAGTTCCTGTCATGTTTTCTGACTCTACAATGTTTATTACACTTCAGACAAATACCCCAGGGAGATTATGTAAAAAAGCCGGGAGAGGCCGACTCTTTTTATAGCGACATGCCTCCTGGAGTCAGCACAAACTCTGCATCTAGTTCTAAGAAGAGGTCTGCTTTTCTGTCGCATTTTCAGATTTCTACCTGTTCCATCACCCATTATTCCATTAGTCAGAACATTTCATTGTTTTGCAGCAGGTTTGACTCTTTCTTCTTTCTTTGTGGAATGTTTGAAATAGCATCCTTTTTGCTTTGATTACTGATTTTTCTCCTGTGTCCTAGTTGCTAATTAGTATGATTAGGCCAGAATAAAAAAATTTTGCATTGTAAACCAATTTTTGTTTAATAAAATTTTCATAATATCCCTGCTTGAAAATTGATTTCAAGTATACTGTAATAATAATTGCTGACTGAAAAAAAATTAAATAGAACGCCAACAACTTTTTAAATCAATGTCATGTAATCAAAGAAAAGGAACATTGTCTTTATTCAATAATAGTTATAAACATAAAATGTTAAATATAAATGTTATTTTTATATCTTTATTTGTCAGTGTCATTAATCCAGTGTGTTGACTTAGACTTCTGCTGTCTCATATTAAAGAAGATAGTGATTGCTTTTTATTCCACTTACTAGACTAGTATGCTAAATGGTCACCAAGTGTTATCTTATAAAATAATTCTACAAAGACTTTCTGCAGTTTTTTGCTTGCTGTCATTAGATTAGAGAGAAATAGCTTTTGCCCTTGATCAAATTTCACTAATTCCTTTATTGTTCCAGTTGCCTAAAAAATTCAACATTTTAAAAGGAAAGATTAATTTAAAAGCATTAAGAGCCATTTGTAATTGCTAAGATCATGATGCTCACTGTTCCTCTGCAGTTAAAGATTCTTTATATGAAAATCTTCAGCTATCACTCTAAAAGAGCACTATGAGAAGCACTGTGTCCTAGAGGAATTGACAGTGTTGAACTGGTTCACAGGAAAACTGCAAGTTTTAATTCTTGTCCCACTAAGCAGCCTACAACTTTGCAGTTGATGAAGCCATTTTCTTTGCTATTATTTCAATGAAAATTAAGAAAACGTATGGAAGGGGCACATATGTAGTGACATTTTATCTTTTGGTATAGCAGCTTCATCTTATAGACAACTTCATTCAGTTTGTTCTAATGATTATGTTATTAGGGAAACTCCAGTGCGATTACTTAATTATCTCTAACATTTAAATTCAGCTTTTTAGATGAGTGTGTTGTTTGTTTGTTTGTTTTGTTTTTTTTTAAGAAGCAAGCATTAATCTTTAATTATGCACTGTTTGTGTTAGAGAATCTTTTTTAATTTGGTTAAAATTTTGAAATAAAGTCTTGGGAAAGCAAGTTTTCGTAGCTCTGTCTATCAGGTTTAAATACCCGTTAAAAAGAAGTTATTTTTAAATACTGTAATTTAATGTGTTTCTTCTTTCATACAGTATCTGTGTTTCTTTTCATACTTCATTTATTTCATGTGTCTCTCTTTATTATTTGTTCCAAAAAGCTAATGGTTTCTAAGGTCTGTCTGTACTAGAGAGTTTTGTTGTTCCCACCACCAGTTCAGGTATGTTGTGCCACTGTCAAGTCTGGAAAAGTAAGTCTGACAAATATTCCATTAACATTGTGATACAGCTGACATAGTCCTTCCATTTGAATTCCCAGAGTGCTACCTCCTACCTTCCAAGCGGGTTTTGATTTGCTCTGTGTGCTGGTGTGGATGGCATCTCTTGGGAGATGTTAGAGTGACTGGGCCATCAGCTGCCTGGGCTTCTCCATGCTGGAAAGCACTATGGAATATTAGCTGGTACTCAGAGGATGTTCAAGGATTAAGACATAACTTCATGGTAACTTTGCTATTATGAAATAGCAAACAACAAAGCCTGAACCTGACAGACCTTGAGGAGGAGGAGGAGGAAGTGTTTGAAAACAGTGGATCTGTTGTTTGTCAGATCTTTCATGATGTGATTAAGTTTGAATTAATGAAACCCTGGGCTCACCTCAGTGTGGCTGTGATTAGCCTGAGCTTCTGAAAACTGAAGAATATCTCTCAGATGCCCCCAAGGAAAGCAGAGACTGAAAAATGCAAGTATCCAGACTTAAAAATTACGAAAATAGTTCCTTTAAGCAAGAGTTTGTAATACATAAGCCATCTATTGTGGATTTTTCAACTTCCTCTTCTTTTTTGGAAATGTAGATCTCATGGCAAACAGCTGAGCAGCAGCTCTAGTTCAGCAAGAGGCAGCCTGTTGCAAAACCTTACATGTTGGACATCACCGCATACATCTCTGGCTCTTAAAAGGAATGCAAGAGGAAAGAAAAAATAGTTTGCACTAAGCACCTAGATAAAAAGACTATTTTTGGCTTTGAGTTTAGGACTAGAAGTATATATTGCAGCAATTGGCTGATAAAATATAAACGTTGAAAATTAGCAAAAATGAGGCAGAGTTACCTCTCCCCTGGTGCTACCAGCTCTGGGTGGGAGGATGCTCGTCACCAATTCCTGGGCCCCTGAGACTGGTAGCAGTGGGTTGAGGGAAGCTGTCCCAGCTTTCCTGCAGCAGCATAAGGAGGGAGTGGGCAGCCTGCAGGCGGGATGTGCTTGACTGTGAGATGAAAAAGCCTTGAAATGAGCACAGTAGTAAGAACATCTTCCATCTAGGAACTGAGGCAGAGCTGCAAATCCAAAGGAAGTCTGGTGTGCGCCGGTGTTTGTGCATTCCACAGCAGACGAGTGAGAAAGCAGTGCGGATGCCTGGCTCTTGAATGTGGGCACATGGAACCACTGCAGGGACAGCTGCAAGGTGCAGAGTTTAATCAGAAATCCTAGATGCTCTGCTAGTGCAGACAGACCTTAGGCTGTGTTTTGTCACCGGCCTCGGGAATGTGACCAAACCACTGAGCTAACATTGATGTGAGACAATACCCTTAACAATAACCGCATCTGAGCCCTCCTATTCCAGGTCAAATGGATTATCTCATTCCTGGAGTGAAAGGATCCCAGACACAAAACATATTTCAGACATTTGTGAAAATGGGAGGCCTAGGAGTAATTCTTGGCAAGGTAAGTGTGAACCACTGTGCTGGCCACGGTGGAAACCAGCCTCTGGACCACTGCTGCTCTGCTGAAAGTTTAGCTGATCTTAGGACAGCAGCATGATGCCTTAAAATTGTGCCAATTGTTATTAACTTGGAATTAGAATTTAGCAGCACCCTACATAAGTGCCTTTTTTGCACAGTGCTTTGTCACAAAGAAATTGCACTTAATTTCTCCCTCCAGTGTGAGCTAACATGAAAAAGAGAAAGAAATCTACTCACTATTGCCAGCTTCTGTGATTTTATCAGGCAGTGTTAAGTGTTTTTCTTGAAGTGTAGTGATTTTGTCAAATAACAGCTGAAATAAAGGAGTTTTTTCTCTGTACAGTTGTAGCAAAAAGTAGAGAAAGGTAACCTAAGTGTCTGAGGTAATTCAAGAGAATCAGACCTGTGAGATTTAAATGGCTAAAGGTTAATGGTTTAAAGGTAGCAAGTATTTTGCTATGGATGCAAAAAGAATATACGGTTTGGCATGGGGCAGGTGAGTTTCAAGTTGTTTTACTGTCTTTGTCCTTTGATTTCTTTCAGGTAATATAGGAGGAAACAGAAAGAAAGTCAGAGGCAAAAGATTTAGGCCACGGTCTAATTCAACTGAGTAAGTCTGAATTTAAAAAAGCAAAGACAAAAAGTAGTTTTCATATTTGTGTTTTGTAGATGGAAATTAAAACTACTTAAAGTAGACAGCTGCATTTTTGCTCTGTGGCCCATTCTGATTGCTGACTGATAATCTGGTAAATGGCTTGGCTAATGTATTTCAACCTCTTTTTATGTATTCTTTAAAAATTAACTATTAATTTTCTTTTTTTATGTAGGCTTCCTCACAGTCGTTCCCATAGCAATTCCCACTGATGGTGGCAGCCTGCACCATCACTGCAGGCTTTTGTCTACAGTAAACTGCCATTGCTGAGTGTATCCTGGTTCAATACTGAGTTTCTGATAACCTGTTTCCTATCCTTGTCTTCACCTTGGGTTGGGCCATTGCAGAGCTAGAGATTTGTATCTCTGCATACTTTCCTGGAGATTTTAGGAGAGGTATCTGTCTGCTTTGAGAGTACCTTGAAGTTTGCCATTGCAAGCCTGAAACAGCCAGTCTTGACTAAGCCCTGCGATAAATGGGTAATTAAAGTCTCTACCAACTGACTGATCCCCAGACTTTTCCACTACAGCTTAGAGTTGTTGGCTTATTGATTTATTGGTTACATTTCCTGAAGAGCCCATGTGTGCAGGGCTCTCCACACAGAAAGAGCTTTTCTTATGTACTGTTGGTTCAGGCCCCTCTTTTGAATGAGTGTTGAATGGCTGGAAACCTCTGGGCTTATCAAAAGCACTGGCCTGCCCTTACAGCACTTCCACCCCACATGAATGGCCCCTTCTTTGACCATGATGGCAGTGAGTGTCCTTCCCCATGTCATGACTACTAACTTTGCACCTTGATGGGCAAATGGGCTTGATACCAACCCTGCTGGAAACTGATAATGCTAACTGCTCTCTGGGCCCCCTTTTCTTTGGTTTGGGGATTTTGAGTTAGTTCTGAAACTTTTCTTTCACCTGCAGTGCACTGTCTTGAGGTGAGTAGGCTCAAAAAGGGTTCCTAGAGAAAACCTTAGGTTACAAGTTACAGAAACAATACTTTGGTGCACATTGCAATTTTAACATTGCATGGCCAAAATGGCATCATGGAATCAGAAATTTTAGCCCTTGGAGGAGTTTATCTCAAGAGTTTCTGTGCTCTTTGCCTTTGTGCTGATAAACTCTGAAATGTTTGCTTATTTTCTTTTCTCCTTGCATGAGATATTTTGATAAAATCAAATTTAGTCTGGCCAAACTGCCAAAAACACAAATGAGATTTGCTCTGAGAACTTTGGAGCATTAAATAAGCAGAGATATAGTGAGTTGGAAATATTTTTCCCTGTATATTTGTCCCTCTTTTAAAGGTGCCCTTGAATTTCCACCTAATTCTCTGCATTTCTTCTTGCTGCTTGTTATGGTGGTCTCTCAACCCAGCAGCCCTGATGCTAGAGGGAGGAGGCTTGTACTTCCCAAGGGCCACGCAGCAACCTTTTGGGGATGAAGCACAGTGTGTGTGTTCCTGGGAGAGGCCTGCCAGGCAGGGAAATGCTCTTTCTCCTGATCAGGCTTGCACAGGCCTGAATGGCTTGTCCGAGTCTCCTTGGCAGTCCTGTCACCAGCTGGAGGGAGAGCTCCCACGGAATGATCCTCATGCTGTGTCAGTTCAGCGGGGAATGGAGAGAACGCTAGGGCTGTTAGAGGGCGATTATCTCTCTGGTTAGAGGGACAGCTTGTTTTGCAAGGAGAGAAAGTGGACTGAGAATGATCTAACTGTGACCAGCATCTAGTCATTAAGGAAAAAAAAAAAGCGACACTAGCTGCTTTGAGGATGCTCCAGAATACATGGAGGCTTTTCCCTTTTTACCTCTCTACCTTGCCTGGGAAATACAGAATAATGTTGGAATCTGTTCTGAAGCAGTATTTAGAAAATCTGCTTGTGTGGTCTTTAGGAGTCCAGTAAAGCATGCTTGTTGATATGGAAGAAAAAGGATAACAGTGTCGGTCTCTTGTAATTAGCAGACTGTAGTTAACCATTTTAAAATTTGGTTTATTATTATGCACACTTTGTGCAGAATTCAATTTTTTTTTAAGCAGGAGCACACTGGTGTGCTTGCCTACAAAGATACTTGTAAGCATGGGTCTGCAGTAACTGCTAACATTATGCACAGGGATTTTTTTTGTATACAGCCAAGAATCAAATGGAATTGTGCCATTAATCATTTAAACAAAATTTCTTAAGGACTGAGCAAGGTTTGCAGCCTGCAGCACTGAACAGGAAATTGCGAACACTTTGGGCATCTCCTGAAAAATATCCTGCCCACACCTTTGCATGACCTTTAGACCTAGCATACATGAACAAGGCTCATGCTATGCACAGAGCTCTGAGGAGACTACTAAAGATATTTTGAGACATTTTTAATGGTTTTTGGATGTTTGATAACAAAATAATTATTCTTTACTAAAGGCAGATGGTTCATTACATGTGGGAGGAATGCCAACAGGCCAAATGCTTTTTCAGAAACATAGCTGATGAAATGGCCTGATAAATAGTTCTCTATTAAAATAAATTAGAATTATCCAGGAATGATGAGAGTTTCCTGAATAAGTTGACAGTTTAATTGGGATCTTGTGTTAAAACAGGTCCCAGGAACAGATAGCAATTCAGACCTTTGTTAATTTTCACTGCTTTTCCCATAAGCATTTGTCTTCCTCGTTGTTGTAACTGATACAAACATCTTTGGTTTAGACTTTCTATTATATATTGTCTTTTTGCAGCCGGGTAACCCATGCATCTGAGCCTGGGCTTTCTCTCGCCCACCAAATCTCTGCCCAAGGCATAAGCCCAGGGGGTTCTGACCACCCCCAAACAGGGAGTCGGGATCACAGGTCAGTCTCACCTGCCCCTGCATTCTGGGCTGCCATTTTGTCCCATGAAAAGTCCCTTCCCTAGTATCCGATAGTTTCACTGTGGCAAAACACTGTGACTGCTTGGAGGTGCTCCTGCTGATGCAGCGCTAGCTACCCTTCCTCCTCGCCAGCCTGAGGAGTACAAGTACTCTTGAGCCCAGGTCTTTTGCCTTGTTGCATGTTGCGCTACGAGCCAAATTGAGCTGTCGGTCTAGCTCTAGGCTTATGCGTAAGGACACCTTGTTTCAAAGCAGAATTTCTCACCCAAAGAATATGTGGATTCTGGCCATTACTAATGAACATGTGGCCAGAAAGATCAGCCTGAGGGCTTTTCCAATGGTGTCATGTAGTGGTCTGCAGTAACTTGAGTTTAACCTTTTTGTAACAGATGGATTGAGGTGGTGAATGATGGTCTGTAATACACCCTGACCCAGGAATCCCTGCAACATGGTTGTGCAACAATTGCATGCTTTGATAGCACCGTACACTGTTTTCTAATGCAAGAAGCCAGACTGGGAGTGTTTCATGGTTACCAAAAGACCCTTCCAAATGAAAAACTGCAAGTTTAAAGTATTGCAGCAAGTACAAGAAAATGTACAATTAAAGCTAAAGCAGAACTTTATTAGCTCCTGGTGATGCTGGCATCAGCCTGTTGCTTCACTTGTGGTTCATGTGTTTTGCTGCGCTACCGCTTTTGACGTTTTCTTTCTCTAAGACCCCAAGCTGGAAAGCATAAAGCACTCCCGTTTCCTGAGAGATAAGCAAGCTGAGGAAGCTACTTAGAAGCACTTGTGGCTGAGGGCGAGTACTTTCTGAGAGCTGTGGCTGTGCTTGCGCGGGGCGGGGAGGAGACGTTCCAGAGCAAAAAAGGAGCAAAAGAAGTTGAAAAAGTGCTGCTGCTTTTGTTGTCATTGTTGTTTGAAATATGGAGGGGGTTGAATGACATGATTTGGCCCAACCTTTATTCATCTGAGCAATAACTTGCAAGGCCTGTTCCCATGTGTGAGGTCATTGGAGTCACTCCCATAAATACGGGTGGCAAGAACTGGACCAAAAGTATCAAAAATAACTTATAGAGGAATTTTCTTTCCCATTTTCCTTGGTTAAAATTTGTTTCCTATGTCATTGTGCTAGTTTCTATTGTATAAAGACGGTGGTCACAAATAATCATTTGATTGTTGCCATTCATATGTGACGAGAACAAACTTTAAATTGGTCCAGGCAGACTACAGTTTTCTGCATCTCCTTTTTTTGTTGACAAGACAGAGGGGGAGGAATTTACTTATCTTGTTATTGGGAAAAATTCGTTACAAAAAAGTTTTCTTCTTCCTTGGTAATTTGTTGTCAGATAATTAAACATCATCTTTATTTCATAATTTTTCATGTAATTAATATGAGTATACAACTCAGACTTTTTTTCCTTAAAAAATGTGGTTTTGGTGTCAATATTGCTTCTGTAAAATGTGAGATAACTCTACAGCCTACCTCCATTAAAGCCAAACTAAATGAACATTAAAAAATTCGAGGTTTGTTTGCCTGTAAGTGTAAAAATTGTCACTATAGTGGCAAAAAATTCAAATTTTTAAAACAATGAGGCTGAAATTCATTCCTGTAAAAAGGGTCAAGCCCAGGATTCTGTGGTCTTTTAGCCATTATCTTACAATTTATCTAGATCGGTGCAAAAGTGTGTCTTTGACAAGCAAACGTCACGACTGAAGCCAAAATGCCCCTTCATCCTTATTTTGCAATCATGAGGGAGTTCAAACCATGAGCTTAATGCTGGCCCTCTGCACAGGAGTGAATTTTACCCTTAAGACATTAAATGAATGATGTATCCCAAAGAGTTTCCAGATTAATCAAACATGAGTCTTGTTGTAGGTCAGATTTTCTCATGCAGTTGTACACATTACCTAGTCCTCACCCAAATCCATACTGATTTATTTGCCATATTCACTTGCATTTTGGGGATGAAGACATCCTTGCTAAGCTTGTGCTGTGTGTTCTCAGATTTTCTATTCTTGTTCTTCTGCTTTCTCTGTTCCTTCCATTGCTTTCTGCAGGTATTTAAACCCATGGTTCAAAAGAGAATATAATGTAGCTAAGTGGGTAGAAGATGTGAATAAAAACACAGAAGGACCATACTTTAGGTATTTTGTAAATTAATTCTATAATTCTCATTTTTTAGAGCTGTTCCAGCATATACAAATATATTGGGACTCCTATCTTGTATAAATCAATACAAGTTACTTAGGTGCAAAGGGCCCCTCTTCTTTTGCTGCATTTTGATGTCTGTTTTTGGCTTCATGTGCAATTTACAATTCTTTTTCTGAATGTTTTGATGAAGCCATTGAAAAGGGTGTGTGTAGTGCATGCGTTCCCACCATCATCTATAGCTTGTAGTAGCTTTCTCATCATTTTATGCCAAATAATGTTTTATGGGCATGAGACATATTTATCACTAATAAAATAGTATTAACTTAAATAGAATGTTAATTTACTGAAGCAAGTGGTTTCATAACACGTTGACTCTACCTACTGTCTTATATAGTGCATACTAAAATTTAAATGAAAAAAGACTAAAAAGTAGTGGTATTTTACCTCAGCCTGCAATGAAATAATTTATATATTGTCATTGGAAAACTAAATGTATGAGAATATACTCTCTGCTCTAATTGTCAAAATGCTAATTAATCTGTTACAAGTGAGGTAGGGTTCAACCAAAAATATAACTTGTTTTTGAAAGGGAAAAGTGTGCATTATCTGGTATGTTCTAAGTTACAGAGAAAAAGCATGCATGAGGCTGGGCTCCTGTTGGACAGGAGTCAAGAGACTGAGAATGTTGCAGTATATTCCCAAAAGATACAGTCCCACAGCTGAGACAGATCTCTGCATCAGCTGAAGAAATGAACCAGCATAGGAGGGAATGGAAGACAATTTATGACAAATAACATAAAGTATGAACAAAATCCATTAAGCTGTTACCTCACTTATCAAAAAAGAAGATAGTAGCAGAAACACAAATCAAAATATTAATAAGCAAAATCTTTACCTAAAACAGTGAAGGATGGTAAGAACAAGTAAATAGCATCTTAATAATTTTGCTACACAAGTAGACCTAATTATAGTGCAACAGGGCAGAAACATACTAAATGTGTGCAGTGTGCATTTGGGAAAAAAATGTGATTGGAGTTGTATCAGGGGGTGCTAATGAAACACTTTTATTCCAATAGTAACACTGGCACACATTACATGCAGAGTAGGAATTCTGTAATTTTTAGAACTAAAAATGTCCCAAAGTCTTAAAACTCATAAAATTGTTACTTTTAAAAACCATTTCTGTTTGTTTTCAACACCTTGTAAATCACAGACCGAGAAAGGTTTCCAGTGAACAGTTAGGAAAAATGAGTAAACTTTAGTCCCTGATCTCAGTCCTGAAAAGGGAGAAGAGATCCCTGATGCAAGAATCCAAGGCTTACAGGAGGTTGTTTTGATTGTGCCCATTGGTATCAGACAGGTCTTGGTACTTGGACATTCCAGCAGGGTTTATTGTGAGTCTGGTTGCTTCAGCACTGGGATACAGGGTCCAGGTTGGTGTCTGCAGTTCAGCAAGCACGTTCTAGACCTGGGCAGATCTAAGCCCAGAAAAACCATAGAAAGGACTGAGAGACTCAGGCTGTTCAGCTTAAGGGATCAGCTGAGCACTTACCTGATCATGAAGTCCACATAACTGCATATGGAGCAAAATCTCTGTGTGGGGAGGTTCCTTTAGATTTGGAAACTAAGACTGATAATGACCAAAGGTCACTGGAAGCTGAAATTAGGCAAACTCACATAAGAATTGAGGCGTGTGTTATTACCAAAATCTTTTCTAAATATAGCTACTTGACCTTTATTGTTCAGGCAAGGTCAAGATCTGCCCACCATAACATAACCCCATAGCTATCTTTCAGGGTTTTTGTATCAGAAGCCCTGTGGTAGCCATAAACAAAGACATAGATGGAATATGGAGATAGCACTGTTTTAATACAGGTTACTTGAAATGGTTTAGTTAAACAGAGTTAAAAATCTGTTTTCTTACTCATAATTTGGTTTTCATTTTTTAATATCAGTATATTTTTATTTAGTAACTAGATTAAATTAATGGGAGTGTGTCCTGCCCCTGAGGGTATTTAGCTGTTCCACTGAATGAGTCACATTTCTAATTGTATTTGAGATAAACCAAGCATTTTTGGCATGTAGATGTGGATTAAGCTGACCCATGTGAGTTTTAAAGGCTATATATCAGCAGAGATAAATCAAATTTTTTGCACCACAGAAGCCTACTAATCACTGCCTGCAGCAGTTACCCTTAGAAATCAGAGAGCAACTAGAATAAATTTAGAAATCTGTATTGTCCTAATTAAATGAGGCAATCATGGAGAAGTATTCTGCAGATACATTATAGAAGGGAAAAGATCAGATCTCCTGAGATGAGTTTCTGTGGGTTTACAAGAGGTTGAACTAACAGTTTCTCCACAAAAATCAGATGCAATTTTGATTAATGATAGCATGGACAGAAAAAGACTGTTCTTAAGAATGGTGTGTCAGAACATCTTGTGGTTGGGTTTTGAATCTGGGCCTGTGAAGTGATTCACACACAGAATGAAACAGATCCTCCTTGATAAACTAGAACATCAGGCAGAATTCAGACTGTCCACCTGGTACTTTATTTTATGAGTCTGAATCCCAGGATAAGACATTTACACCAGATATTTAGCTGAGTAATTTTCATGTTGCTGTCTTTGATTTCTCTGTTCTTTTAAATGTGTCCTGAAAGTAATACTGCTGTTTTGCTTGTTTTCCTGTAGTTTTAGGAATAATATGCTGATGACTGGTGATGTTGTAGGAAGAGTTGAAATAGAATAAGGAAAAATTACAAAAAACACTTTCTAGGAAAGGTGAAAATTTTCAGAATATAGGGATATTAGTCATCACCAAGATTTTTTCCATCTACTTAAAAAACCCTGTATAAATCATAATTTGTCTCTCTAATATCTGACTTCCTAGTAATTTTTTTTTTCTAGTCTACAAGTCCGATAGGTATTTCTATATAATTACTTTTTATTATGATAGTAATAATAGTAGCTGGTATCTCTGGCGCCAGAAATCTCCCTAGTGTGGGATTCCTATCTGTAAGAAAATAAGATCTGTGAAGAGAACTCTCATTTTATTGCTCAAAACCTAGTCTAGATTTTAATTTTGTGTGCCAGGCAATAACCACATAACCTCAGCAATAAAATCAGGCAGGTAGCCTCACCTTGATTTTAGCTTTACTGTATGGAACATTATTTTATGAATATGCTACTGCTGCTTATTCTTGTTACTGCCAATTACAATGTCCACTGCACAGGCTGACCTTCTGATATATTGTTAAAAATTACTCAGAATTCTCACTGAATCTGAAAGACTTGATGGAGCCATGATGGAATCAGAAAACAAGCTGCCAGAAATCCTAAACATGACATTTCTGGAGATAATTATAAACAAAAAAGACTAGAAAAGCACCTTCTAAAGCATTGAGCCACCTACATTTGATTTAATGCAAGTATTTACAATAAGTTATATTTTATTAGTTATTTAAACACAAAAGTAGTTTACAAACAAAGGGTTATTTTAGATGGAGACCCAGATCACTTTTCCCAGAAGGAAAATGGCTGTCCTATATCAGAAGGGCATTGAGAAGGGGCATGGAAGGAGGACACAGTAGGCTGCCATTTCCCTCCTATTTCTAATGTACTTTTGTGTCCTTGATTTTTTCTCAGTTCCTCTTCAGCTGACCATCTCCATTACCTTCTTTTGTGAGCATCCAGCTGAAGCAGAGGTGTGACCAGCCCATAGGCAAGCTGCTCTTGCTGAGGCAGCTCTAGATTGTGTTTAAAGTAAAAAAACCAACCAAACAAGCCTTTTTCCTGTTACAACCAAAGCAAAATACTGTTTTTGTTAGCAGGCAATGAAAAAATGCCTACTGCTGTCAGCAGGATCAAGAGTTAGGGAGGAGGGTGCATTGAAGCATGTGAGTGCTGCTTCTGAGGCATAGCTCAGTGCTCCAAGTGACACCCCAAGCCATAATCATTGTCTCTTCTGCAGCCTCTCCATGAGCCTCCTCTCGCCTCTGCTGCTGCTCTTTCTGAGGACATGTGTGCACATCTGTGGCTTTAAAAGGAACTTACTTTAAAATGGTTAGCCACACCAGTGTTTTTAGAAGATCCTAACTTCCTAATGTAGGATCTAGGCTGATGATGTCATACAAAGAGTTGAATCCATGGCAGCAAAGGTTAGATTAGGCTGATAGGGTCTATATTTGAGCTTTCAACACTTTCACCAAGTTGAATGTTAATTGAATTTCATTACATTATTTCAGTCTGCAAAAGAGAATCACTCACAGTTCATGAGCAGTTCAGATCTGTCAGGGCCACCTGCCTTGAGTTCAGTTCAAATGACACTCAAAATTGCAAGATGTTTAGTTGTGTGACCAGGTGCCACATTTTGCACTGTTTCTTGTGTGCCAACATTGCTGTTTAGGGACAGGAGGCCAAGCAGGTCAAGGCTGCAGGGACTGCTTCCAGATGTCTTCTTGCTGCCATAGTGTTTGTTGTGAATCACAGAATGGTCTCCACACACTCTTAGTTTTAGCTTTCAGGACAGAAAGACACAAAGTGGTTGCTCTATCTTGCTTTCTGTTCAAAAATTAGACTTTTTGCAGGTGAGGTGCATGGCTTCATTTGGGGTTGGCAGTAAAACCTCTGAATCTCTGTCCTGGTGTGTACTGGCTTCTTGTGTAAGTTTCATCTGGAAGCAACATTTGGCATGAAAGCTAATGGATTTGATTGTAGGAGAACTGAAACCCTAGCGAAAGCTAAGTGGATCCCACCCTTGACCAAAACTGCCAAGTTTTCCTACCTTTAACCCCAGCATTACCTGCAAGTGTCCCTGAATGCTGTCTCTCCATCCTGTAAATGAGAAAGAGCCAGACATGACCTTTCTCATTTAAAGTATATGTAAATCTGGGATACACAGCACATACACAATTGCAGGGCACAACCTGAAAGGTGATCAAAACCACCTCAAACAATGTTGTTTATCAGAGGAGACGCACTGTAAGATCTGTGAGCATACGCTGAGTCGTGTATGCTCACAGTGTCAGTAGCTGGCACTAAAGATGACAAAAACCAGCACCTAACTCTATTAAAAAAATGAGTGGTGAGGCCCTGTGAGGGGAGGGCAAGGTCATTTCTCTAAGTGTGCAACTGCATTCTCCATGTACTGGCTGCAGTGTTGCAGGTGCAGCTGTGCAGCAGAGCTCACATCAGTCAGGTGTGCAAACTGCAGGGGAGCAGGCAGTGCAAAGAGCATTTGAGAAGCAGGATACGTAGCCAGCTACACTGGAGGCTTGGCCTTCAAAATATTTGGAAAAGGCAGCATTGTGTTTGAGTTATGGTGCAAAGCTTCCTGGCTGAAAGGATTAGTTAGGGATCCTGCTCAGAGGACCTGCATGTGCAGGGAAAATATTCAAGATGCCCCATCCTTCAGGGGATTATTACTCCTTCCAGGGTCACCTGCTCAGATGGATGGACAGGAAAATTGGTTGTGGCTTTTCCTCTCACTGTGGCCTTCTCTTAGAGTATCTAAAATGTGAAGAGCTTGTGCTATGTTGGAAGTGTTGTGACTAGTGTGGTGAAAGAGATGGGAGATGCCTTCATTCTGTGCCACTCCCCAGGTAGTGCTACCTTATAAATGGCTTTCTGATAGGGCTTGCCAAGTCAGATTTCACTAGCTCAGTTCCTTGTTTCTGACCTCCAAGTGCATTGTTACAAATTTTAAAATGAAAATGTAAAATTCTACTGCAGCAATGGGGTAAAATTTGTGAATAATTGGATTACTAATAATATGTAAAATCTGCTCTCCTTATTCTCCCCCTTCCCTCTTTTCCTTATATTCTTCATTCTTGATCCACAAATAGTTTGTTAGTGATAGTCCAAGTGGGGGCAGAGATGAGAGGACTTGTATGGACAGTGAATAGTAGGGCACTGTTGACAACCTTTCCCTGGAATTATTTTTTTAAATTAACCTGTTTTCTTCCATGCACAGTTTGATGCCCAGATCTATGATGTTGGACATATAAAAACGTTGTTTTATACTGCAGTAACTGTTTCAGGGTTTTTCTTCCTGAAAACATTGGTGTATGTCCAGTTCATCTTAATGGGTGATCAATGTGCAGGTACTGAAGATGTATGCTTCCATGTTTGGATAATTGTATAAATGTAGATGTCTTAAGTGCTGTTGAACTTAGAGGCTACCACATGAGGCATTAGAGGATCATGAGCCAGAGTGGAGAGCTCTCATCATATAATTTCCATTGACACCTTGTTTCTTGTGGCTACCATCAGTCATTGTTTGTATGGGGGGCAAAAGGATCTGCTATTGTAGGGAGCTACAGACACAACAAAATGATACAATAATCCAAAATAAAAGTACAGTTATTTAAAGGTAAATAAATTTCACTTATTATTATGGGAACTTTCCATCTTCAGGGACACCTTAACTCAGAAGATACTAGATTGCAGTGCTCAGGGAGGGCTGAGTGATGTGCTTGCAGTATTAAGAGGCCTCCTGTGGTAAATGCCCTTGGTCTGCACAAGAGAACAAGGTGGCCAGGATAGCTCAATTTTTCTACTTTGAGGCCTTTTTTTCATTTTACTCTGCCCAGATTTAGAGTCTGATAGGAACCTCTCAAGTGGGAAAAGTGCAGATTCTCAAAACAGAAGCATAAGAGTTTTTCTTGGGTATAAAATTTCAGTCAATAATGTGCTGTTGCCTTATTGACATGAAAAGAATGCCTTTCATGTGATACAAACATTTACTTGCTCCTGCTTACTCTACTCACCTTGTACAGAAATGCTGATTGCCATTGACTAATCAGTCCATTTTTGTATATTCTCATCAGACTCTTTCTTTGGCTGGAACAATATGCACTGTATGATGCTTGCATGTATAACAATTTGTTATTAGCACTTTGTATATGCCTTTGTTACTTCACAACTAACAGTTTGGCCTCCAAATGCATGCATTTGTGTAAATTAATGTTACAACAATAATAGATTTATTTGCTATGTTTGTATCAATTCAGGAGATGTGTAAGATATGCATAAAGACACATAATTGCCATTTAGTCACTGGGAGAAGACATTTGTTCAGCTTGTATTTATACAATTTCTGTTTCTATTTAGGCTTTATAATGCCATGTTTATCTTTTAGTTCTGTATTTATTCAATTGCAAATTTGGTTTTTAATAATTTAATAATGATTAATTACATTACCATATAAAACAGTTTAAGAAGTAATTTTTGTTATACAATTCTAATAAGAAGTATCAAATTTTTTTCTTCCAGTGTTCCTGAAATCTCTAAATACCTTTATTCATATAATGAAATTATAAGACTATTGATCAAGCAATTTTATCCTGCTGATATTGAGCTAATAATAAGCTATATTCTTGGCTCTGAACCAAGCTTCAGAGTAATGGCAGTTGCTGTTGCAGTGCTAGAATGCAAAGACATCACATTTATTTTATGTGTTTCAACATCTCAGGACACTGTCTCCTGCAAAGTCTCCGTCTTCATCCACTGGATCTATTGCTTCCAGCAGAAAATACCCTTACCCGATGCCACCACTTCCTGATGAAGAGAAAAAAGTCAACAGGCAAAGTGCCAGGGTATGTGTCCCTCTTCTCTCTGCATTTCACCAGTGTCTTGATTTACTGGTAGTTTTTCAAAAGAAAACTGTGGCAGATGAGCACCTTTGACCAACAAGGAGAGCTGGAATGGCATTTCCTTTGCACCCTGAAGTTCTGAAGCTGCAGAGCCACTGGCAGCAATGAAGGCCTTGACAGCTTTGTTTACAGACAGCTTGTCAGGTTGCTCATAAAGCTGCCTTGAAGCCCAGATTTCACTACTTTTCTTATTTCAAGCTGAAAATGTGCCCTGGACAATTTGGTCTGCAGAGCAGAGGCAGCCCTGGAGCAAGTGATGTATTGGGCTCTCCTTTCTTGCCCCTTCTCCCAGCAGCTCTCATTCAGGTGGCTGGGATAGCTACTTCCCAGCTTCATGGAAATGTAAACATTTCCAGTTATGCAGCACGTGGAGTGCTTGCAGGGCTGGAGGGACTTCACTGTTCTGTGACCTGAGCCCACCCTGGTCTCCCTAGAGTGACCAGGAGCTCCTGGAATGTGTGGTGGATAGTAACACCTCATACAGAGATTTTCAGCTGCTCCAAAAAGCTTTTATTTCCTTTGTGTCAATTCAGACATAGCAGGTATTTGAATAAGCAAAAAAGTCCTGACATTTAGGAGCTTTATTTGCAATACCCTTGGTTCATGTTGCTGATGCTGATGAAATTCTCATCACTGTTCTCTGTCCTTTTTTTTTTCCCAAGAAAAAAGGAATGGAGTGCTGCTGAGGGAACCTGCAAGCTGCTCCCCCAGTGCTGCTTGGGGCAGAAGGTTGTGTGAGGTGCAGCACAGGGTCTCCCAAGGCAGCTTGGAGCCTGGGCTGTAGTGATGTGTCTCAGCCCTAGAGCTGCTTTGGCAGCAGCTCAAACCCACAGCAGGAAGTCATGCTGCTCTAAGCAGAGTTAGGCAGATGAAAATGGGAAGATATCTCTCCACTAATATTAGTGTAACTCTAAGGTGAAAGCCATCTAGTACAAGTTTGATGCTACAGTGACATTTCTCTTTCAAAAAGAAAAGTGAACTCCCAGCCATGGGCATTTACTATGCTGACTGCAAGTCGTGCTGAAATGCTCAAGACTGTCTGCTCACTTGGTGAACACATACCCACCAGAGGCTGGGAGGAGATTTGATAACCCAAGTGATGTAGATGCAGTTCCCCAAACAAGCTCCTGCACTGTTTGGGCGACAGCTTGTTTTATCCTGGTGTTCAATGTGTATCTGTGTTCCTTTTCCCCCTCTCCAGCTATGGGAGACATCCATCTAGCTGCAGTGTTTTCCTGGGGTCACATCAGAACTGTTTACTTTGGATTTTATAGAAACTCAGCATCACTGAGTCACTGCACATTCATCTGCTCTTCAGACAATTCGAAAGATCAACAGAGGTGCTCGTGATATCGCAGTGATAGCCTCCTGTCATGTGGAAAGGAAAAAAACAGTCTTTTTTTTTCTTTCTTTTTTGTTGACTTGTATTTTATGGATTTGATGAACAACCAAAATCATACCATTTGACAGAGAATAATTAACCTAGATGTGACAAGGCTGTTCCACATGGTGACCTAGAATCCCAACTGCAGTCCATTTGCCAGTCCTGTATAAGAGAGGTGTTTCTCTGGTTTATTGCACTCCTGAGTCAGACCAGAATGGAATTGGGAACATGCCTCATGGAGAGCCCAGCTGATGTAAACTTGTATGCTGTATGCATGAACCTTGTGTTCTTTACTTTCCACATGTAAGGGAAAAACAACATACTGTAGTCGAGATTAGCATGCAGGAGTAAAAAATATAGGAATTTTTTTGGTGACAGGATTTCAAGCTTTGAAAGGCAACTATTTGACACAAAAGGCAAACAAACAAAGATTATATCTTTTTTTTTTACCTTACATGTTTATAATCTCAGTATACAGATTGTATATATGTAAACATTCAATAATGTCAAAATTAGCTGTTATACGTATGTGTATTTTGCCAAATGCCTAAAGAAACAGTCATGACTAACATCATCACAGTTCAGATTTTCTAATGTTATGAGCAGACATCCTTGGAAATACAGAAAGGACAGTACTGTAAAACTGTGTCTCTCAGAAACTGGTGTTTGACCAAAATCTATACAACTTTTTCAGCATCTTATACTGTCTTGACAATCTCAATTGTACAGCAGACTGTGGAAACCAGTACAGCAGCACTTTGTCTTAAATCATCATAAAAGGAACCAGCCAAAATTCCTTGTTTAGTTAGATAACCACCATATCCTCTCACAGGTGTAATCAAGAATGATTCAGCAGACAACAGTCTTTAAGTCATGTGCAGCTCAAACTTACTGGACATTTGGGAATACTTCTAAGTAGTCAATTCAGGATGTGGTGATGTGAAGTCTGTCTGTGAGAGTCGCTGTGTATTTTTGATAGAGAATTCCAGACACTGTTTTAGATGGCAAGGCATAGGCTTATGAGAAGCATAACAATTTCACTGCACTAGATAATAACAGTGCTGGGCAAGTGGCCAGTTTCATTGCTGTCTTTCAACTTTTATTCGTTACTGGAATCGCATTTACCATGCACTTGAATGCTATGCTTGCTGCCCCTGAAGCCCCCTTGATAATTTTTTGGGGCATTAAACTGAGCACAAATGAATTTAGCTTAAAAAGTATGGGGTGGGGGGGAACAACTCTTTACCATGTTAATCTTGCCTGTTAGTTGATGGTTGTATTTCTAACACCTGAGACTTCTAAAGGTTGTTGTAAAGCAAATGCCTTCTGGTTGGGAAATTTCAGTTAGTGAGAAACTGGACCATATTAAATCAGTTTATAATTCTCTAGTTTTCCAAAACCGACTCTGTGGTGCAGTTGAATACCCTACCCAACAACTGTATGATTAATTAGATATTATTGTAATGGGAACATCTATGGTGTTTCTGAATCTTCTACCTCTTTCATGTATTTCCTTTAGTAAGTGAATCCAACACTTGCAGCCTTTTAATGTATTTTTTTAACTTTTATGTCTCTCAATAAAGTCAGATATATGTAAGATTAAATTAAGAAATGTTTAAAGATGTCGGCAGCTGTAAAATATGTAAGATTTTTAGAAGCACTATATTTTATGATTAGGCTGTATGTTGGATTATGAAAAAATATTGGCCTTGGCATTCAAATTATTTTCTCACAGTCAACAGGTTCTGGTAAGTATTTGGAAAAAAGACAAATATCAGTGAGCACAACTGGGTGCAGACTGACCATCTGGAAAGAGTCACTTGTAACTGCTTTAGGGAAAGATTCTGCATTTTTGTGGAAGGTAAATATATCAATCAGCACTGAAGAATATTTTTTGCAAAGATTTACTTTGAGTGTAGCTATCTGGATTAAAGATAGTTGATAGCATGTAGCTTATGAAATTAGGGTCTGAGCCATAACTTGAAATCAATATGTCTTTTGTTGATTTCACTGGACTTTGAGCAGGACCCGTAAGAGGTTCACCCACATTAGGACATTATGATAACTTGGTCATCACTGTGTTACTCTGTCACCTGGAAGCTGGTTTTCCCTCCCATATTCATATTTTGTCTTTAGCAACTGGACTGTTCATTATGTGCCTTTTATGGTATTTTTTTTTGATACAAACTGGCATGTAGTTTTGAATGATCCCATTAATTTCTGTGCATATCTTATGTTTACCACTGTTTACCCCTCCCTTTCCATTTTGCCTTATCAAGAAGCAGCAAGATTTGGCAGACAGAACTGGACATAACATACAGGCTCTTTCTGCTATGTTCATAGCTTCTTTTGCAAACAAATGGCCCTCCTGACTGTATTTTCAATGTAGTATGTACTTCCAGCTTTTTTTTTTTTTGTGTATAATTCACTTGTTGCATATGATGATACACTTCTGTGTGTAGTGTACCTTTAACAGTCACCCTCACATTTGGAGATATGTAGTAACTGGAAGTCTAGTTCTGGGCACTAAGTTAAAGTTAAATAAATGTTGACTTTCACTTTGGTGGTCTAGCATGAGAATATCACAGGACTTATGTTCTAGCAAAATTCTTCTGCAGAGAACTTTATATCAGGTTGGTAACTTGGGAGACCTGAACTGGCAGAGCTGTGTGAGCCTCCCAAGCCCGTGGAGGTTGGATAGAGAAGTTGTTTGCTTACAAAGCTGTTATTTCTTACTTTTAAAATGTAGTATTTTGGAAAGCTGCCAGATTAATAACCTTGAAGATTGCAAATATTTTTATCCACTGTAGTTAGTTATGCTGGCAATAGCAATATAAACTGCTGCATAATACCTCATCCAGACTGAAATAGAGTACTTGTCACTAATATAGCTCAGTCATTTTGACTTATTGAGACTCATGCTTTTATTTTGGTTTTATTTTAATAAATGAACTAGTTATTGCCAACTATGCTGTAGATGCCTGTTGAAGTGAGGAAGCCATCAGTTCTCAACTAGAAGTAATTGTTTATATGAACATAGGACTGGCAGGATGAGATATACTTAAGTTACCTTTATGTATTTTCAATGTGGGAGAAGAATCTTGTGTAATTTATAATAAAATTAATGTGACTAACTGATGGAGACTGGAAAATTGAGATTATATCTAAAAATAATGGTGCACAATGATGCCACAATTTAACAAGTAAAGATTTACCTACTAATTCTGGATTTGTTGACTTAAGAACTTTAGTAATATCAGGCAATACACCAGAAATGGTTGTGACTGATAATTTATATATAGTTTTTTATATTTAATTATGTAGATTCAAGAATACTGTTAATTTTATAGAGCCTATCTTTGCTTAAATTGTGACTAAAGTCACAACTTGCCAGTCACCTTAAGTGTGACTTGACTTGGAAAATGGCTTCTTCCAAATGATTTACAGAGTTCCTGATCTATGAGATGTTGAACCTGCTGAGCTCATGTGCTCATGAAATAAGTTTATTGTGCTATTGAAGAAGTGAACCTCTGAGGTATAGCCTGAATTAAAATCAGAAAGAAATTGTGTCAATAGTGTACTGAAATCCTCTTACTCAAATCCCTTTTGCTGCTTTGGATTGATTGTCCATGCTAATGTCAATGCTAATGCAACAACTGAAAACCAGAGGTAAGAATGGCTACATACACTATTATAGACATGCATATACTATAAATTCTGACCAAATTCGCTGTAACTTAATTAATGAATTGATTAATGGATAGAATGTAGTGTGAAAGAATCATGGGACTCCATAATAATAAAGGATATACTCTTCAGTTAGCCCTTAGGACTTGCTTTGACATTGAATCCTGTAGCTAGTTGTAAGCAAAGTTATCACACTCCAGTATAAAACTCAGTGAGCTCCTGTTCTCTTCCATCCCCTTTTCACTTCTACTGAAAAGAATTTTCATGAAACATTCATCCACTAGCAGGCTCTGTGAGTTGGCTGACATCAGAAAGCTGCTAAGTTGGTCACCTTTCCACACTATGGATAGGGTCTTTCCTATACTGTTCATAATAGTAGGTCAAATGAGGTATTAGGAAGAAATTCTTTACTGTAAGGGTGGTGGGACACTGGCACAGGTTGCCCAGAGGAGCTGTGGATGCCTCATCCCTGGAAGTGTTCAAGACCAGGTTGGATGGGGTTCTTAACAGCCTGGTCTAGTGGAAAGTCCTGCCCATGGCAGGGGGGTTGGAATGAGATGATCTTTATTGTCCCTTCCAACCCAACTATTTAATGATTCTGTGATCTTTTGCTTGTGCTATAATCAGGTGATGATGCCTCATGTCTTGTGGATTTTGCACTGGTTTTGCTTGGGGATGAGTTAATGTTCTTCATCATAGCTGGTATGAGGCTGTGGTTTGGATTTGTGCTGAAAACACTTTAGATAATGCAAGGATTTTTCCAGTTATTGCTGAGAAGTGCTTGCAGTGAGCCAAAGCCTTTCCTGCTCTTCACATGCCCCGTCAGCAATTGGTCTTGGGGTGCACAAGGAGCTGGGAGGGGACACAGCCTGGACAGCAGACCCAAGGGATATCCTAAACCATATGATGCCATATTCAGCAGCAATCCAGGGGGAAAGCTGGCAGTGAAGAACTGCAGCTCAGGGACTGATCTATTGATGGTGAGCAATTGTTTTCATTTGCATCACTTGTCTTTTTTGGGTTTTAGTTCTCTCTCTGTTAATTACCTTTTCAATTAATTTTTTAAATTATTATTACTACAGTTATTTAATTATTTAACTGTTCTTATGTCAACCCATAAGTCTTCTCACTTTTACCTTGACAATTCTCTTGCCATCCCACTGCGGGGGGGACTGAGCAAGCAGCTGTTTTGGGGCTTAATTACTTATGGTTAAACCAGAATACTACTGGTAAAATCACTTGATGACTCAGCCATTTTGTGTCTCTCTCACCTTCTAGCATTTTTGAAGGCTAAGCCTCTTAAATCACTAAGTCTGTGAACCTAACAGTTGATCTGTTTCCCATTTCTCTTGCTCCAAGTCTGAAAATCCCATGTTTCTTTCTCTAAATTGAGTATCTGTGTCATGGGATAACAGTTGATTGGATGGACCACTGTTTTTAACCACGATATGATGTTATTTGCCTCGCTTTTGAAGAGCTAGAGCATTAGAGTCTCCACTGAAATACCAAGAATAGCTGATGAGCCACTATTTGCATGGCTCCCAAATCTTATGTATCAGCAATATGGGATTTGACTTGGATCACATTTGACATGCTCAGTTGGTTGGAGTTTGGTGTTAATAATGCCTGGGTCACAGGTTCAATCCCCCTATGGGCCATTCCCTTAAGAGTTGGACTGGAATATCCTTGTGGGTCCCTTCCCCAGAATATTCTGTGCTTCCTGAAGACAAATTTGAATAAACTGCAAAAATATGTGCAGGCTGTGATCTCATGACTGGACAGTGGAGTGAGGTTCCTGTGTGCACATAACTATTATCCTAATAAGGCAAGAAAAAATAAAACAGTGAAACCAATTGTGTAAACACAGCTGCAATACAGACAGGACTCTCTTAAGTGTGATTTTGTCAGAAACAAGAAAGGAAGTAATAGTTTCTATCATATATGCTAAAATGTCCTCTGACATGAGTAGTTTCTAAGTCAGCTTATGAAAACTATTTCTGGTGTCTCAAGTATGGATGCTGATGTAAATTGCAGCTTTGGAAGCTTGTGCACACGGTATCTTGTCATTCCACAACAGTTTTCTGCAAGTATTTAGAGAAAAGCACTACAACAGTCAACATTCCTATCTTATCTCAGACAAGTAAGAAAAACAAGCAGTAAAAATAAGTTTGGAACACAGATATTGCTAACACTTGAGATAATGTGCCTGGCTTTAAACTTGGCACACCTAGCCAGGTCTGGCAGTTCTAGCTCTTTAAAATCCAGTCTATACCAGTTTCAAAATCACTTCAGCTAAACCAGATTTAAACTGTTTAAAAATTTCTGCTACTTAACAGGGGCCATAATTGCCATATAACTCAGAATGAGGAAAATTTGGGAAAAATAAGCACAGAGCAGTTAAAAAGAAACATGTTATCTAGGGGAGAAGTAAAGGTGTCAACACAATTTTTAATTGCTAGAGCATAAAATGTCAAAGCAGCAATCTTTTATTTTTCTGCTTCTCTAGTCCTCTGAACAAAAAGATAAAGCTTTTGTTTTAAAAAATATGAACATGAGGCCTTAAGACCTTATATACTCTAACTTTAGCATGAAGAGTCTATTTTTACAACCATGTTAGAAATTCTGTATATAGGCCTGACTGACCTTGTAAGTGGAGTGGTGCGAGCAGCTAATCATGCAATATTGTAAGGCTCTGTAGAACAGCAAATGCTCATTTAGTTTGATTATTGTTACAAGAACTTCTGCTCACTGCCTGTGTAGACTCTGCATACTTTATGCTTGGAAATACAGTCCAGAACATACTCAAACTGTGAATATATAACTTAATTTTTCTTTTCTTAGGGATAAAAATATATTAAAATAGGTAATGTTTTATATAGAATACAGTACTTATTTTTATTGTTGCATAAATGCAAAATATTTTTTTCAGAATAGCAAAGCATTACTGAATTTTTAATCTGCTGGACAAAACACTATTTACTGTATGACAAGTTCTTTCAGCAAAGCTTTTGGGGTGGTATATACCAACTGGCTCTGCCAGCTTCATTTTGTGCTGATGTTTAACTTGGGCATTGCTGTAAAAAAAAAAAAAAGCTATTTTTTCACTCATACTAGCCATTATTGAAAGAGGCAAGGAGAATCATGTTTCACCACTGTGGCTGGGCTAGTATTGGCAAAAACAATGATTTGTATCATATCATTGTCTTTGCTAGTTAAAATTCCTTAAAAATCATACCTGATGTAATAAAAGCGTAAGATTTTGACAAACATCAAAATGAAGCACTGCAGTTTACAACTTTCTAGCTTTGAGTGTGGTATTTTTGTCATAAACATTACAGGCATTGGGCTGTTGAATAAATCTGGCTTTCATGTAGCTAAACAAAACGTTGCTTTTTATAAAATCAAATCATTGTAATTTGGGGTTCTAAATTCCTGCTCACTTTTAATAATAACAGCGTCACAGTATCCACTTCTACAAGAGTATTTAATACAAATGCCTGTGGTTTTCAATGTTACTGACATATTGTAACATCAGTAAAGTGACTTTCAATGACAAAGACTGTTGTGTGTATTTTGTTCTTCCAAGTGACTGTATTTACCACTTTCTGTTTTATAGATCTCTATAAAATAAAGATGCTGCATGCATGGGAAAAGGCTAATAGAAGAATATAGATGTTATTTTTCAAATTCCAAGGTTGAAAATTATTCAGTGACCTTCTCAAATCTTTGAGAAGGGGCCTACTGTTCTCAAAGCAAATCTAAAATTACTATTCCTTAGTTTGCATGTTTGAGGGCAACCTAGGAAAAATTTCAAATTTTACCTATTTGAAACTATTCCAGTGGTTGGCTCAAAGGTTGAGAGCAATCACCCCACTTGGTGTCACGTGAGTATCCTTCCCAGTATGGCTTGTGGGAAATTATCAATTCTGAGAATAACTGTTTTTCTAGCAGATAACTTGCATATTCAATCTGTCCACTGAATCCACTCTTAGTGGGGAAGCAATATTTGCAAAGGTTTCAGGTGGCTTTTTTTAGCTATGACAGCAAACTCTGTGTAACTCCTCAGCATTTCTATGTATTAGCTTAGTTTCTCTCTGAACTTGAAAGATGATGTATCTCATCAGTCCTTGTGAATATGCTGGATTTTTGAAATGCTGATGTAAAACAAAAAGCTATTTTTTCTTGAGGAAGCCAGAATTTTCACCTGGTTTTGGAACATTGTTTTTCCCAGTTTTCTCTAGGTTATGTTTACAAGATCACTGAAGAAAACCCTACTGGTTCACATTGTTTGCTTGCAGCATTTCACTGCCCAATAACTGGCTGGTGCCAAAATACTGATTCAGCCTGGGGAAATAAACTGAGCAAGACCTGAGTTTGGGGTCCTTGGGTCTAGAGTGCTTTGGCCCACTTGAATCAGCTGTCCTCACTGAATTCCTACCCAGCCTCTTGCCCACACTCAGCCTACTCACTGTGATTGCAGAGTGAGAAACTGAGAAGACCTGGATGCTGTGCAAGCACTGCCCAGCAACAGCTGAAACACTGCTCTGTTACTGATGCTGATTACTTATAAATCTGAACCTTTGGGCTGCTATAAAGAAAATTAATTCTATCCCAGCAAAGCCACTACAAGACCAGAAACACAACTAAGCAGAAGTAAAGATGTGTGGGAAATGAACTTTTTGGTAAAGATCTCTTACTATTGTTATGGTAAAATGAAGTGTAAGCATGAGCACTGTATTTATACAAGTCTACTCAAATCCCTATGGGAAAAACAGCCTTTTTTTCACACTCTTACTAACCTCATCAGCTGTCAAAGGTTTGAACTGCAGCAGAACAGATGATGGCTGCTACAGTTGGACAAACCTTTATGGATTTTGGTCATTCCA